CCAAGTGCATGTTGTTTATTCATCGTTTCCCCACCCCATACAAGTCATTTAGTCTCCGGCACCGCGTACCCCACCTTTAAAATCGCTCTGAGTAGCTGAGCCCCATTGGATGTGTAGCCAGGCGTAGAGCTCCTGTGTTCAGTTCTGGCGATGACTGTTGGGGGGATGATTCTGTGTAATTAATCACTTCCGGAGCACATTCTGACTCACCGCCACAGGCTTTAGCACAAACTTTTAAGCTGAAACATTCCTTCGATAATACATTTGCTGAACTTTGTGTTTGTTATTGGTTACAGTTTTATTAGCTCTAGGGCAGAATATTTCATTTAGCCATGAACTGATCCATAGAACAAACTTGCACTGAGCAGAGTTCATCTTTTTTTTTTTTTAAGGTTTTTTTTTCTTAATTTCATTTCTTGCACATTATCCCCACTGAGACAACGCACCTTGTGCCTACGTGCCACCCCCGAGTTTCTATATAATAAAATGTCATTTCCACATCAACGAACTGTTTTCATAAGTTATTGAAACGAAAGATTGGATTTCTATTTTATTTTAAAACGTTAGCTTTAAATAATTTGGTTGTCTTTTTTCTTTTTTTTTTTTTTTGACATCACTAAAAGCTATTTCAATGTCAATCTGTGAATGCAACACGTGGGGAGGGAAGGGGCGAGGATGTTTTTATAAGTTATTGAAATTATTTTTTTTTTTTTTTTTTTTTTTTTAATCTTTTTCTTTAAATAATTTGGTTGTCTTTTTTCTTTTTTTTTTTTTTTTGACATCACTAAAAGCTATTTCAATGTCAATCTGTGAATGCAACACGTGGGGAGGGAAGGGGCGAGGTGATTCTTTATTTTAAAATTTCATAATTGTTGTCATCGAAGTGCTGGGCGCATTTGCTTCCCCTTTTTTTGTGTAATATATTTCAGGCGGTATTTTGTCAGTAAACTAATGACATCATAAAATTTTAACTACCCAATGTCTTCAAACATGTTCGTTCTTTACACGTCAGTGTCAATACGGCATCAGTGTAAATAAAAAATCGTATTAGGTGTTTTTTTCTTCAGTTTTCTTTATATTTAATAAAAATTTATGATTGTAAATTACGGTAAATACCGATGAAAGAGTGTCAAGATCTTTAGCTGAGATTAAAATTCGGTTTTTAAATAAAAAGAAATATTTTCACCGTCTCACACTTAAAACTATCTAAATCAAAGGGCAGTAATAAATAATAAAATTAAAAATACGAAATAATAATGTGTTGCATCCCTTGAAAAATGTCGCTTGAGGTGCTCGCACGTTTCTTAGAGCAGTGTTTCCTATGCTTTTAAGCTTCGCATTGCACCAGGGACCGTAGTCAGATGTATTCATTTATTTTATAATGACTGCGGCTATTCGGACCCGGGTTCAAGAAGTGAGAGTTTGGGTTTAATAAAAAAATATTTAAAAATTATTGTAAGGTTTGTAGGACAAAATTCGGTATCAAATGAAAGATAATTGAATGGACTATGCGTTTGTAAACTTACTTCTTAAGTTTAACTAAAATAAACGACCACAAATGACATCAGAATAGCATTTGGTCAACATGAAACCGGAAACGCATCCCCGAAACTGAAAGTTAACTTTCGGCTAAATTTCGGCTTCGGCCGAAAGAGAAAAGTTAAATTTCGGTTTTTGTTTCGGTTTCGGCTGAAATTGACTTAGACTTTTGGCCATCCGGCTGAAAGTGACTGAGGTTTTCGGTCATCTAATACTCAGCGAAAGCAAAATATAACAACAAACTAAGGGATATTCAAGAACAAACTAAAGGATCTTTAAAAACAAATAAAGCGATTTTTAAGGACAAATTAAGCGATCTTTGAGAACAAACTAAATAATATTTAACAACAAACTAAGCGACATTTAAGAACAAACAAAACGATCTTTAAAACAAACTAAGTGATCTTTAAAAACTAAACGATCTTAAAGAACAAACAAAGCGATTTTTAAGAAGGAACTAAATGATCTTTAAGACCAAAACAGATGATCTTTAATGGTAAAATAAATAATTTATAAGAATATACTGAGCGATCTTTAACAGAAAACTAAATGTTCTTTAGGAACGAACTAAAAGATCTTTATAAACAAACTAATCGATCTTAAGGAACAAAATCAAGTATCTATAAGAACAAACTAAGCGATCATTATGAAAAATCTAAGCGATCTTCAACAACAAAATAAGCGATCTTTAAGAGCAAACTAAACTATTTTTAATAACAAACTAAAAGATCTATAAAAACAAACTAAATGATCTTTTAGAACAAACTGAATGATCTTTAAGAACAACTAAGTGATACTTACGAACAAAATCAAATGATCTTTAAGAACAAACAAAGCGATCTATATGAAAAAAACTGAACGATCTTTTAATAACACAAACTAAGCGATCTTTAAGAAAAAAACTTAGCTATCTTTTTTGAACAAACTAAATGATATTTAATTTTAAAAACTTAAAAGATCATTAAACAAAAACTAAGCGATCTTTAAGAACAAATTAAGCAATCTTAAAAAACAAAATAAACAATTTTTAACAAAAAACTAAGCGATCTTTATGAACAAACTAAACGATCTTTTAATAACACAAACTAAGCAATCATTGAGAAAAAACTTAGCGACCTTTTTTGAACAAACTAAATGATCTTTAATAACAAACTAAAAGATCTTTAATCAAAGACTAAGCGATCTTTAAGAACAAACTAAGCGATCTTAAAAAACAAAATAAACGATTTTTAACAACAAGCTAAGCGATCTTTATGAACAAACTAACCGATCTTTAAGAACAAATAAAGCGATCATTAACAAAAAAAAAATGAACGATCTTTAACAACAAACTAAGCGATCTTTAAGAACAATCTAAATGATCCTTAACAACAATATGTTATATTAGATGTTTATTTATTAATATTCACGATTATCTCATTTTTTATAAAAAGAATGTAAATATTTATACTTCCCCCATCATTTTCGATGTATGCAGAATGTATGCGTGAACGAATTTCAAAATATCTAAATATTTCATTTTCGGTTTCGGCTTCGGTTTCGGCCGAAGGTCATTTTTTAACTTTCGGCCTTTTTTCGGTTTAGGCCAAAACTCATTTTTAAACTTTCGGCCAATTTTCGGCTTCGGTCGAAATCAGAAAATCACTTTCTGTCGGTCTGTACAACAGCTAGCCAAAATATTACTTGAAGTTATATTATAAATTAGGAAGTTTTAATGATTTGAAAGTGTGTTTGGTTTTAGAAACGGGACATTTAGACATCACGAGAGAATTTTCCGGGACACCGGGTAAGATCGTGAAAAAACGGGACAATCCCTTGATGTTTCCGGCGGAGCCCCCCCGAGACCCCCCGAACAATCCCGGTTTTAATGGACGTTTGGTGACCCTAGTATAAGTACGTATATTTGAGAGTTTGTGAGTGTATCTGAGTGATTGTATTTGATAATGTTTCAGAATGTATGAGAATATCTGATTGATACTATTTGAGTGTATGTGAATACACTTCATTGAAGTTTACCCCCTAGGGTCACGTGGTTTGCCATCCAGACAAAAGTTTTTTTTAGCGCAATGAAAAGCAACCAATCACAAGTCACAACTCGCATGCTGTTAAAAATAGTTCCAATCAATGGGTTACAGAAATCTCTTACGGGGGGGAGCCATTGTATTGACGTCTTATGGTCGTGCAACGCTTCGCCGGTTTGAAATTCATTTACTTAAAACTGATCATTATTGACCTTCTTTTTAAACTTAATTGTTGGGTTTATATTTGTTGTTCTGGAGAAATAGAGAGAATATTGGAGAGACTAACAAATGAATTGTCTCTGAAAGAGTTGGGTCTTTATTTGACTCTTGCTGATAGGAAAAGAAATGTATTTTTTTCCTCTATTTCCTTCGTTTCCGAGAGAAGATGCTCTAACATCGCTGGAAAACGGGTACGAAATATTTTATGGAGAATCAACTGTTTTCCAATCAACTGATCTCCTCTTCTACGCAACGGATAGAACCAATGGAACCTTATACGACCAATACAGCTTGACCGAAATGGCATCACTGAATAATTATGCAGCCACTCATCTCCACATTTTTATCTACCCTTAATTCTGGCAGAAGGTGTTTTTTTTTTTTTTTCCCTTCTCTCAGATGTGCCACCATCCACGGTTGATACGTCACATCTACCTGAACTGCCTGGATTTGTGTCGATTTATTTTCTCGTGTCGCTAAGAATCGATACTCTGACCTCTGCGGCATTCATTCATTTACAAGGGAGCAAAGTATCGTATGTGTGCCTACTCTGATTATAATGATGGGTCCAACTATCCTGTTATCACATTCAAAACACAGTTCTGCTTGGCAAAGCTCGGTAATGAGACTTATTATCGAGGGAAAGGAGTGGTGTGGGGGGGGGGGGGGAGAAAANCGTCACATCTACCTGAACTGCCTGGATTTGTGTCGATTTATTTTCTCGTGTCGCTAAGAATCGATACTCTGACCTCTGCGGCATTCATTCATTTACAAGGGAGCAAAGTATCGTATGTGTGCCTACTCTGATTATAATGATGGGTCCAACTATCCTGTTATCACATTCAAAACACAGTTCTGCTTGGCAAAGCTCGGTAATGAGACTTATTATCGAGGGAAAGGAGTGGTGTGGGGGGGGGGGGAGAGAAAATGTTGATCCTCCCTGGATGGCACAACTTTTCTATATATTCAGGGGCGGCATTTTGGGCTGGATGAGACCCCAATACTGACAAGTTCCGGGTTACGAAGATAATCATAACGATGATTAATGCAAGTTTTTTGTTGTTTTTTTCCCCGGCCACTAACCTCTCGGCCACCGTCATGCTGGCGAAGTGAAGCCTTGCCGTGTAGACAATAACGTGCTGTGCCCTGACGTGAAGAATGATATGGTGCTTTCGAGGCGACGCACCTCGCCTTGTTTTGGTTTCTTACCTGTCACGGTCGGTGCCATTCAACTTCCACCTGTGGGTGTGTGTGTGTCTTCGATACTGTCGTAGCAGATAGTGCCATCCTGTATTTCGAGATACAAACAATGTATTCTTGTTCTGGAATGTGTGTTTCTACTGTCTTTAAATCCAGTGTTATCCCCAAGGATATGTCGGAACGGACCGCTGTTATGGAATAAGTTGTGTTAAGTGTGTGGGCTGTCACGCTGTGGTACTGACAGTGATTCCCATTCATGGGATTATCTAAGTTAAACAGGATTATTTTTGCGTACACTGGATTATTTCATATACACAGGATTTTCCCTAAATATTTACCTGGACTTAGCTGAATCACATGGAGGATAATTGTCGACCTGACCGAGGTGCATTTGATGTTTTCAAAGGTATTACGATAACCAAAACATGTCCTAATATCTTTACGTATAATATGCCATGTTTATTTATTTTGAATTCGTGTCGTGCCAGTGGTGTAGGATACAAAATGCGTGGGTGGGGGGGGGTGAGGGGGTTACTTTTTACTTAATATGGAGGGGCTGCCTTTTCGTCCGCCTCCATAGTGGACGAGGGGCGGCATAATGATCACTCCGCCCTCAGCGGCATTGACCGTAGCTACGCCACTGACTCGTGCCAAAGACACTCTCAAATGATCAGGATATATTATATAGCATTCTCTGTTCTTCAACTCTCCATCCCAAGCAGCAGCTTGGTGGGGCTTTAGGAAACAAGCAGTAAACAGCACTAACAGCAACTTGTTGGGGCTTTAGGAAACAAGCAGTAAACAGCACTAACAGCAACTTGTTGGGGCTTTAGGAAACAAGCAGTAAACAGCACTAACAGCAACTTGTTGGGGCTTTAGGAAACAAGCAGTAAACAGCACTAACAGCAACTTGTTGGGGCTTTAGGAAACAAGCAGTAAACAGCACTAACAGCAACTTGTTGGGGCTTTAGGAAACAAGCAGTAAACAGCACTAACAGCAGCTTGGTGGGGGCTTTCCGAAACATAATGTATGTTAAGTGTTGAAGCAACATGAGAACACAATTACAACTGAATAACATCAAGCGTGCAACGCTGTCTGAATATATCGACTCAAAGAAGGTCAGAGCCGATTGTTAAATGTGTCACAGGTATGAGGGAGTATGTTTGCGATGTTTACTTGAACTGCAAGGAGGTCATGCGTGACCGATGAGTGACGAGTGTGGGAGAACGTCCGGTTCAGTTTATCATTAACCATCTGCCGTATGACTGCCTGGACCAACTGCCGTATGACTGCCTGGACCAACTGCCCTATGACTGCCTGGACCAACTGCCCTATGACTGCATGGACCAACTGCCCTATGACTGCCTGGACCAACTGCCGTATGACTGCCTGGACCAACTGCCCCATGACTGCCTGGACCAACTGCCCTATGACTGCCTGGACCAACTGCCCTATGACTGCCTGGACCAACTGCCGTATGACTGCCTGGACCAACTGCCCTATGACTGCCTGGACCACCTGCCCTATGACTGCCTGGACCAACTGCCCTATGACACCTGGATCAACTGCCCTATGACTGCCTGGACCAACTGCCCTATGACTGCATGAAGACATCTCTGTAGACGTAATTTGATTCAGATGACGTTACGCATTTCCTCAAATCGTGTCGTGCGCGTGATATTATCAAAGGGCCTGCATTTTTGCTCGACCGTGGACAGTACAAACATCTGACCACCCGCAGCGTCCACGGGGGAATCTCGCATAATGTGACGTCCTACTTGTGTCAGCCATGTCTGTGTCGGTCGTGTTCAAAGCTGCTCATCACCTTAGGACCCGTTGATCTCTTTCTGTGTGGAATTAATCTTTAGGTCACTATTAACTATGAAAACGCAGAGAATGAAAATCTTGCAAGGTGCAAACCACCTGTAGTCTTAGTGTAAACTTTAACACTGCAAACCACCTGAAGACTTTGTATAAACCTTAACACTGTTCAAATTATTGATGTTGCTCCTTACTTTATATTTGTCATTCTTGAACAATCTTATTTCTCCGCGAGTCATGTTCCTAAGCCTGACATGTTTTTGTTATTTTTGACCGCCGATCACCTTTCCGTCCCCTAATTCACTCAGGTCTACATTCGTTCATATGCGCCTTACTTCACTCACCTTCAGGGAATGCCTGCCTAAACCATGCCTTCCTAATCAATGCCTGCCTAATCCATGCCTTCCTATCCCATACTTTCCCATGCATGCCTAAACAATGCCTGCCTAACCAATGCATGCCCAACCAATGCCTGCCTAAACAATGCCTGCCTAACCAATGCATGCCCAACCAATGCCTGCCTAATCCATGCCTGTCTAAGCCTTGCCTGCCTAAACCATGCCTGTCTAAACCAAGCCTGCCTAATCCATGCCTGTCTAAACCATACCTGCCTAGTCCATGTCTGTCTAAACCATGCCTGCCTAGTCCATGCCTGCCTAATCCATGCCTGTCTAAACCATGCCTGCCTAATCCACGCCTGCCTAATCCATGCCTGTCTAAACCATGCCTGCCTAATCCATGCCTGCCTAATCCATGCCTGTCTAAACCATGCCTGCCTAATCCATGCCTGTCTAAACCATGCCTGCCTAATCCATGCCTGTCTAAACCATGCCTGCCTAATCCATGCCTGTCTAAACCATGCCTGTCTAAACCATGCCTGCCTAATCCATGTCTGTCTAAACCATGCCTGCCTAATCCATGCCTGTCTAAACCATGCCTGCCTAATCCATGCCTGCCTAATCCATGCCTGTCTAAACCATGCCTGCCTAATCCATGCCTGTCTAAACCATGCCTGCCTGGCAAAAAATTGCGACGTCACGAATTTTTCAATTATTTTAATTTTTTTTTTTATATCTTAAAATGTTCTAACTTTGAAAAATCTTTATGCAATTAATTTTAAAAACATTAATTTGAGTTCGAAATTGCGTCAGGTATTACAGGTACCGTGAAAATCAGTCACCCACACCTACTGTGCAAATAGAAAACTGACGCCAAAACTGTTGTGGCCATTTTACATTCGGCTCGTGGAGGACTTGGTTGCTTTGCGTTTTACGTCACAGTTTTCTAATAATACCACATCTTAATCCATTATGGGGAAAATGTTAAAGAATAAAATAAAATCTTAGTTAAGTTTTGGAAATTGTATGCATGTTTTGAATCTTTTAGGTGTGACGTGACACTAAGGGGTAGGGGGTGACGAATTTGTGACACTTTGTGACAGTGGAAGAGGGGAGTCTGAAAATGTCAATTTTTATGCTTGACGTTATTTGCGAACTAACCATTATCCGTTGAAGTCTTTAATCATTGGTCAGCTGATAATGCAAAGTATACGGTTTACATCTTAATTAAGGGTTTAATTTTTTTCTTTTACTTCTTTTAAACTTTATTTTCACCTTTTTTTAAACTAATATTTTTATCAGACTTCAAATGTTTATTTGCCCCCCCCCCTTTTTTGAAGTTGCAGGTGTTGTTTAAATTGTTATGTACTGCGGCGCCTCCAGTAATAAACAACTTAACAAGCCGACCAAGTTTTTGGTTTTGCCCCCCCCTCTCCCCCCCCACCCTGAAAAAAAAACTGAAATGACGCCCCTGAGTAGCAGTAGGAAGCCTAGATGAATTTCGAAGGGGGAGCCCCGGCAGGCATTTTATGGTTTGAACAGGATATATGAGCATGTGTTGTGAGGCGCACTTTCAAAAGTTCTCCCCGGATGACATTTAGTTACCGTTAGCCACCGGTGTACAGTCTCCGTGGGCGGCATTTAGTTACGGTTAGTCACCGGTGTACAGTCTCCCTGGCTGGCATTTAGTTACGGTTAGTCACTGGTGTACAGTCTCCCTGGGCGGCATTTAGTTACGCTTAGCCACCGGTGTACAGTCTCCCTGGGCGGCATTTAGTTACGGTTAGCCACTGGTGTACAGTCTCCCTGGCTGGCATTTAGTTACGGTTAGCCACCGGTGTACAGTCTCCCTGGGCGGCATTTAGTTACGGTTAGCCACCGGTGTATAGTCTCACCAGGTGGCATTTAGTTACAGTTAGCCACGGTTATACAGTGTACGAATTCTTCGTTTACCATCCTAGAGGTATGCCTTACGGCTTTAAATCAGTCTGACCCCAACAGAACTTCTCGGTTGAAATTACGCACAGAGGCTAATGATAAAAAAATTTCAAAGCCCCAGATGACAGTGCGGCTGTGCTATAAATTTGTGGATTGAGCCCTAAGTCGATTTGACATTCGACACCGTTATCTTCGCGTCAACTTGATCGCTCGTTCGCCGCGGTCTTACTGCTACTCTCTAGCTCATTTTGGGTAATGAACAGAACGTTTCTCTACCTTTTTTTTCACGCCCGTTTACACAAATGGGTGATAAATCTCACTTTTGTCGACAAAACATCTGGTGCCCAGGAGATGAAAGGGCTTGAACTTAAAAATAGACCACCTCAAGTCAGTTTAAGAAATGTTTGAGACTTCTTTATGAGTGTTGTTTTTACATGTGACCAGAAGATCAACCCATGTCTCGTTAATCTCCCTCTATTACCCCAACCTGATAACATAGCTGTAAATATTTTACCCCAATCCACTGACATAGCTGTAAATATGTTACCCCAATCCGTTGACATAGCTGTAAATATGTTACCGCAATCCACTGACATGGCTGTAAATATTTTACCCCAACCTGTTGATATAGCTGTAAATATGTTACCCCAATCCGTTGACATAGCTGTAAATATGTTACCCCCAACCTGTTGACATAGTTGTAAATATGTTACCCAAGACTTTAACATAGGTTTAAATCTTTTAGTCCAACCCTTTAAGAATGGTTACGTAATAATTTAGAAGAGTAACCTACCATATTTTTGTGATAAATCTCTTTTTTTAGAATCCAGTACTTGAATTACTGTAACTAGGTCAGGGCTGGCCCTAACAATTGCGGGGCCCTATGCGAACGGGTTGCAACGGGTTGCGCGGGGCCCAGTCTGGGTAGGGATAAGGAAACTAAGTGAAAATTAAGATTTTGTATTAGAAAATAAAGTGTGGGGCCCACTGCGGCCGCATAGGTTGCAGTGGCCCATTAGGCCGGCCCCGAATTGGGTAACTTATTGCTTTTACTACCCTTAAGGTTTCTATGCTTTTGATTATTTTAGTCGACTTTAACGTAAGGATTTTAAATTTATTAACTTGCATTTCAAAATCCAATTGATGGTGGAAAGTTTGCATCACCCACCAATGATACAAGATTGAGAATCAAAGTTGCACAATCAGTGTTGTCTTATATAGCCAGTCACAAACATTGCTTCCTTGGAGTACACAGTGCTGTCTTTTATAGCTAGTTACAAACAAAGCTTCCTTTGAGTACACAGACAGCGTTGTCTTATAATATATAGCCATTCACAAATATGGCTTCCTTTGAGTACACAGTGTTGTCTTATATAGCCAGTCACAAACATGGATTTCTTTGAGTACACAGACAGTGTTGTCTTATATAGCCAGTCAAAAACACGGCTTCATTTGAGTGCACATACAGTTTTTTCTTATATAGGCAGTCACAAACATGGCTTTCTTTTAGTACACAGTGTTTTCTTATATAGCCATTCACAAACATGGCTTCCTTTGTGTACACGGACAGTGTTTTCTGTCTCAGCCTTTACCGTGATTGAAAGTCACATGACCCGGAGTTTGAATAGTACTCCTCTGCTTGAAATAAATTCTTCTCCAACGTTTCTTTTTTTTTCTTTTAAAATCCTGTAATCACAACCTGTCTTCACACAACCTTATTACCATACGCCCATTAACGTCCCTGGTGCTTATTAAGTCATTTGTGGGGAGCTTTCTCTCCCCTCTCCGTCTCCAACTCCTCCCAGCAGACGTGAACTTCTCATGGTTTCGGTATTTGAATTGAACTTGTTCGACCGGGGAATGCCCATCGCCCAAAACACGAAATAATAAAGTCCAAATAATCAATACAAAGTGCGCCTTGATTTGTCCGCGAACTATTTCAGAGCAGGCTGCTGAAAGTTGTCTCCACTTGTATAATAATTAAGTGGTGTATGTGGAGCTGGTTGTTTTATTAAATGGTGGCCGGTTGGGGGGGGGGGTTAAAATCAAATGGCGGGTGGATGTTTGTGTTTATTAGGTGGGGAATGGTGGTTTGTGAAAGTTGTTTGCTTGTGGAACTTGTATAATAATTAAGTGGTGTATGTGGAGCTGGTTGTTTTATTAAATGGTGGCCGGTTGGGGGGGGGGGGTTAAAATCAAATGGCGGGTGGATGTTTGTTTTTATTAAGTGGTGAATGGTTGTTTGTGCAAGTTGTTTGCTTGTGGAAGTTATTTGGTTTTTTTTTAGTTTTCTTTAGTTTCTTTGTATTATTATTATTGCTTTTTTTTTTTTTTTAAGATTGAAAAGGTTGAAACGAAATAAAAAATCTAGATCTATTTAACTATAACTAAACGAAATAAAAAATCTATTTAACTATAACTAAACAAAATAAAAATATATTTAACTATAACTAAACAAAATAAAAAATCTATTTAACTATAACTAAACAAAATAAAAAATCTATTTAACTATAACTAAACAAAATAAAAAATCTATTTAACTATAACTAAACAAAATAAAAAATCTATTTAACTATAACTAAACAAAATAAAAATCTATTTAACTATAACTAAACAAAATAAAAAATCTATTTAACTATAACTAAACAAAATAAAAATCTATTTAACTATAACTAAACAAAATTAAAATCTATTTAACTATAATTTATCTATAAATCTAGACATCGTTAATTTTTCAAAATATGCAATGGGAAATACAGCGACACAACCTCGTCCTGTGTTTTTTTTTTGTTTTTTTTTTAATTAACGATAATGTTTTATTTGGTTGTTTTTTTGATTTTATTATTTTATCAGATTATGTCATGAAAGGCGTGGGTCCGGAAACTGACTTTTGAAATCCCACTGGTTGTCACATGAGATTGACAACCTGTCACCACAATGCTATCACATGACTAGTCATGCACGCCCTAACCAAAACAGCCCCCTCCTTCCCCTNATTCGTCCTTAATTCATTAACATTTATTATTATTTAGCAGCTTAAAAAAATATTTTAAAAATGTGCATTAATTTCAAAACTAAGCCCCCCCCCAGAGGTTTCAGTGAAACGACCACTTTATAATCCCAGTGGGCCAAATTATTATATGGTTATGTTGAAGGGAGACTCTTCTTCTTCTTTATTTTGAGGGCCCACGATCAATGAATTGATCATTCTGGCTCCTATGTTTCAGACTCTTGCTATATTATATATGTAATTACCCCCATACACCATGGCGAGGATCGAAGCCCTCAAGACCGTTCTGGGAATTAATTTTTTTTTTTTGTAAACGACAAACCTGAAGTTTACTATAAAATATTGAATTTAGTAGAGAAATGAAAACAATTTTTTTTTTAAAGTTGTGTACACAAAACTAGATTGTGTTACAAGCGAGAGTTTTTTTGTTTTTTTTTTTAATATTAACGGAATAAATGTTAAATGAAAGGCCTACCTGATCAAACGTAAAAACAATTTTTATTGAAGATATTTGTCATAATTTAACAAGTGGTTAATAAAGTATGATATGCCTTCGTAAAAACCCTTATATAACATTACCTTACTTCTCCTAATAAAGGTATTTAACATGACATTACTTGTCGTTATAAGCGTATGTAACATTACCTTACTTGCCGTTAAAAGCGTATGTAACATTACCTTACTTATCGTTTAAAACGTATCTAACATTACCTTACCGCTCGTAATGAAAGTATGTAACATTACCTTACTCCTCGTTAAAAGCGTCTGTAATATCACATCATGAAAATAAATAATTCTATGGTGTGAAACGTTCGAGATCATCTACAGAACAACACAGTTCGGAAGCACTGGACTGAAACAAAACCATGAGCTTGTTCTTTGCTCACAGTACGAGAGGACCGGACTAAAACAACACAATGGGTTTGTTCTTTGCTCACAGTTAAGGAGCACTGTACTGAAAAACACCATGGGTTTGTTCTTTGCTCACAGTTCGAGAGCACCGGGCAGAAACAATACAATGGGTTTTTTCTTTGCTCACACTTTCGGGAGCACTGTACTAAAACAACACCATGGGTTTGTTCTTTGCTCACAGTTCGGGAGCACTGCACTGAAACAACACCATGGGTTTGTTCTTTGCTCACAGTTTGGAGAGCACTGTACTGAAACAACACCATGGGCTTGTCCTTTGCTCACATTTCAGGAGCACTGGATTGAAACAGCACACTGGGCTTGTTCTTTGCTCACAGTTCGAGAGCACTGGACTGAAACAACAAAATGGTTTGTTACAATGGGCCTGTTCTTTGCTCACAGCACGGGAGCACTGGACTGAAACAACAAATGCAATGACTTTGCCGTTAGCTCACGGTACGCGAACACCTTGATTATATCCACACCATGATCGTGCCTTTGGGTCACAGTATGAGAACACCTGACTGAACCAACACAATGAATTTGTCGTGGGCTCAGATCTTGTCCTGTCCCTTGCGTCTTCCTGAGTGCACTTCACATGTGTCAAGTTCTATGGGGATCTATACCCCTTGACAATCCTGTAGATAATATACGTTTGCTATTGTATGTAATTAATATCTTGTTACTTTGTGATATCAAAGCTAGAAATGTGTAAGTCGCACAGTAAAGAATATCTGGTTTTCGAGCAATAAAAGTAGAATATAGTGTACCCCGCACAACTTTTTTAAAAAAAAGGTCGTTGTGCAACGCATGGGAACCGTCAGTGTTGACGTCGCTTATGCAACGACACGAAGGTGAGGTCATGTGTATAAATAGCTGGCTCGTGAATGATTTGGGGGATGGGTTATTGATTCAGGACACATTGTTTTCACCTTATTTTTTTTATTTTATTTTTTTTTTGAAAGCAAATAAATACTTTCAAAGAAGTTACGTTTTTTTCAGTATACTGCTCTATGTCATTTTCCTGTACGGACTCAGAAAGCTGACTTCAGTATACTGCTCTATGTCATTTTCCTGTACGGACTCAGAAAGCTGACTTCAGTATACTGCTCTATGTCATTTTCCTGTACGGACTCAGAAAGCTGACTTCAGTGTACTGCTCTATGTCATTTTCCTGTACGGACTCATAAGAAAGCTGCCATCGTAATCACTTTGCTATCATTTAATGATAAAATAACACATTTATTTTTCAGAACAATAATACAGATTAAATCTTACACTATATTTGGTTATTTGCGTGCATTTTCCGCCGCCTGTGTGTGCATGTGTCTCTTTGTGCATTTGTTCGTGCATGCTTGAGTGTGTTAGACGATGTTATATTAGAAAACATCAGTTGGATTAAAGATAGCATCTGTTATATCCCAGCCCCGCGTGTAGACTTTGATGACCTCAATTTCGATTCAACGCGAAGTTGCATCGTAGAGCTATCTCTATTGTTTTTATAACTGCCAACACCAATCAGATTGTCCTTGCAGTTGGGGGTATCTGGTTGGGGGTGTCTTGTTGGGGGTATCTGGTTGGGGATGCCTGGTTTGGGGTGTCTGGTCGGGGGTGGTTGGTTGGGGTATCTGGTTTGGGGTGTCTGGTTGGGGTATCTGGTTGAGGGTGTCTGGTTGGGGGTATCTGGTCGAGGGTGTCTGGTCGGTGGTGTCTGGTTAGGGGTGTCTGGTTAGGGGTATCTGGTTGAGGGTGTCTGGTTGGGGGTATCTGGATGAGGGTGTCTGGTTTGGGGTGTCTGGTCGGGGGTGGTTGGTTGGGGGTATCTGGTTTGGGGTGTCTGGTTGGGGTATCTGGTTGAGGGTGTCTGGTTGGGGGTATCTGGTTGAGGGTGTCTGGTCGGTGGTGTCTGGTTGGGGGTGTCTGGTTAGGGGTATCTGGTTGAGGGTGTCTGGTTGGGGGTATCTGGATGAGGGTGTCTGGTTGGTGGTGTCTGGTTGGGGGTGTCTGGTTAGGGGTATCTGGTTGAGGGTGTCTAGTTGGGGGTATCTGGATGAGGGTGTCTGGTTGGGGTATCTGGTCGAGGGTGTCTGGTTGGGGGTGTCTGGTTGAGTGTGTCTGGTGGGGGTATCTGGTCGGGGGTGTCTGGTCGGGGGTGTCTGGTCGGGGGTGTCTGGTCGGGGTATCGTACTTTCTTTTATTATATTTAATCAAGGGCATCGTCGTTTGTGCTATGTAGTGTTTGTTGACGAGCCATTTGAAAGCGAACGACTCTTTACGTTTAAAAACGAATTGCTTTACGTAACAAATCTTAAAATGGGTGAGTTGGTATTTTGCAGACGTAGAGATGGGGACAGGTTGGGACTAGTCTTAAGCAAGAAATAACCCCACCCCCCTCAACAAATTCCCGTTCGAACCAATTTCCGTCCGAACAAACATCGGACGAACAATTTTCCGATTTGAAAAAAATGTCTTTTGTGCAAATGCCCGGACACGAATTTAACTTATAACATGTTTATTTAAAAACATCCCACGGTCATAAGGAACTTCCGGATCCTCTAACCATGAGCTGAGTTGTAAACGAGGCTCCTCGAGCCAGAATCAGCTGATCAAACAAACGAATGTGTGCCGTGGAATCTTGTTTTAGTTGGTTTTTTTTTAAAGTTACGTTTGCAGGGGCAATTAACCTGCTGTTTATTTCCTTATCTTCGCGCCAGAGTAAATCCGTTGTCACGTGTTTGCAAAGCTGGGGTTCTTATTTGAAAGAAATCTCCAGCTCTAAGCCGGCCCCTTTAAGAAGCTAATCTTTTCGGGGGGCTTGGATCAAACGCTGTCGCCCGTCCGCTTTCAGGTTACACCTGTCTCAAGGTCTTCGACGTCTGACGAATTTCGTTGACACAGTTAAATGTCACAGCGACCGCCATCTTGTTATTCTCAACCTACGCTTTCGGATTCTAAACATCTGTACATAATTTATAAATATTTATATATATATTTATATCTAGGATTTGCGTGAGTACCCATATCCCCTGCCTGTCCTATTTCTTCTTGGAGAGCTTTCACCCACGTAGGACATTCGTTGTTTTTGGGGGGTCCTAGTCCAGTGGTCATCTAATCGCGGCTCGCGAGCCGCATGCGGCACTGGCGACCTGAGTTCGGCTCGGCCAGTCGGCCACAAATCAGTTTTGACTCGGGAAAAACATGGTTCTTGAAAAGGTTCTTGAAAAGAAACTTGGCTCAAAATTGTCAATCATTCTGCTGCTGATTTGTTGGTGCTTTTGACTAATGAGTTTTCCGACAACTGCCCATAGTCCATTCTGCTTTTCCGTGTCGTGCGCTTTCTTTGGACTGGAGCGGTGCGTTTACCCTCTGAGGGTAGTGCTCCATCAGTGAGTATGCCTTGCCAGCTTGTAAGGTCCATTGCAGTTGTCTATCCCACGAATCAGGGTGTACACTTCTCTCTGTCTTCCTTCATCTCTTCGTTAACCTGTAGGTTTGAAGGTTCGCCGTCATACTTCTCGCTCACTTAATTCTTAAATGTCCTATCAATATAAGTATGTCTTAATAACGCTCGCATCACCCTTACACTGTTTTCCGTAGTATCTTCATCGGTCTCACTTTCTATCTCTTTCCCTATATGTCTTACAGCCTTTCTCACCGTTTCTCTCTGTCTAAAATGTTCTCTGTCTCTCTATTTTTCTCTTTCTCTCTCCCCCCTCTCTCTCGCTCTCTCTCTCCCCTCTCTCCCCCCCTCTCTCTCTCCCCTCTCTCTCGCTCTCTCTCTCTCCCCTCTCTCTCTCTCCCCTCTCTCTCACTCTCTCTTTCTCTCCCTCGCTCTCTCTCTCCTCTCTCTCCCCTCTCTCTCTCTCTCTCCCCTATGATAACCTTAACAATAACGAATTATTCCAATGTTTTGACGTGATGACCACAATCATCCTAAACAGCATATTGACCTTTGACCTTTCACAACGTTATACCGACTCTCGGACACTCTAAAACAGGAAAGTGGTGCACGGTAAAGGTGGGAAAGGGGGGGGGGGGTTTCCTATGAAACCGTGTGTAACTATTTCTACATCTATTTATATTGACCATCATTACTGACTGCTTATAACGCCTGTCAAATGGTGTCATGTGACACCGTGCTGCTTGTAACGCCTGTCAACTGGTGTCATTGGACACNGTCAAATGGTGTCATGTGACACCGTGCTGCTTATAACGCCTGTCAAATGGTGTCATGTGACACCGTGCTGCTTATAACGCCTGTCAAATGGTGTCATGTGACACCGTGCTGCTTATAACGCCTGTCAAATGTTGTCATGTGACACCGTACTGCTTATAACGCCTGTCAAATGGTGTCATGTGACACCGTGCTGCTTATAACGCCTGTCAAATGTTGTCATGTGACACCGTACTGCTTATAACGCCTGTCAAATGATGTCATGTGACACCGTGCTGCTTATAACGCCTGTCAAATGTTGTCATGTGACACCGTACTGCTTATAACGCCTGTCAAATGGTGTCATGTGACACCGTGCTGCTTATAACGCCTGTCAAATGGTGTCATGTGACACCGTGCTGCTTATAACGCCTGTCAAATGGTGTCATGTGACACCGTGTCAAAAAAGTTTCTCGTTATTTTAATTTAAAAAAAAAAAAACAGAATCAGCCACGTCACTTGACATGTTTTGTTTTTTTTAACCGCAAATTGAAAATGAATATGCGTGACGTCATATGAATGGATTCGGCGTCACATGTACCTGTACTAACATTGCACCAGTTGTAACATTGCACCAATAGCAACATTGCACCAGTTGTAACATTGCACAAGTAATAACATTGCACCAGTAGTAACATTGCACCAATCGTCAATTTTTTCCTTTTGTAACATTTCCCCTGGGGTAACATTTTGCCAATTAAATTTGCAGTTCTGCCGATGTCATACTATCTTAAATATGCAACAGACAAGGAGGACAACCTCAAAATATGGGCGAATGGCGACAATCGTAGAAAGTGGGTACAATGGAAGAGAGTGGGAACAATGGTAGAAAGTGGGTACAATGGTAGAAAGTGGGGACAATGGAAGAGAGTGGGGACAATGGAAGAGAGTGGGGACAGTGGTAGAAAGTGGGGACAATGGTAGAAAGTGTAAACCAAAGTTGACATTATCTAAACGTATCAAACACTTTAGAGTTACCCTTACAGTCATAAAAATAACAGTTTGCACAAAGTCACGTCTTATCAAAGAACAATAAATTCAGGATTACATGACGGGGTAATGGCCCTTGGTATGGTAATGGCTCTTGGTAACCTTATGGCGTCCTCTGGGGGTGTGAATAAGCTCACGGAACAGTCTGGTGTTGCAGTGGCGTAGAGGGGGGAAGTTGTTGGTTTGGATGGGGGTCGAGGTGAAAGCTGTAAGTCTATCCTCCCAACCCTTTTATACACATTTTACTCCCCTTCCCCCTACCCAACCATGCAATGTCTATCCCTCACTCCAACTAAATCTTTTCTGCAATGCCTCACGCCCCTCCAAAGCTACGCCTCTGGATTCATATCTTGCCCACCACCCTTGATACACCTGTGCTCCCGGTGCTTTGTCTGAAATTGGCCTAGTAACAAATTCATATATAATCCTGACGCCGTCCCGTTGAATAGAAAGTAGTTCTTAATTTTAACTTCTTAAATCGGCGGTTCTAAACATTTTTCCACCACTCGGGCACTGACATTTCAACAAACAACTAATCAGAGTAAATTAGCATTGGATTTTCCCCTATGTTATATTACATTACTTATAAAATGGTAGTCGTGCCTCAGCTAGTTCTATGCATCACTGACCAGCTTGACGTCGTCATGAAGTGCTTAGTTGGGTCATTAGGTTTAACTAAATGAGCCGCTCCACCACCGCCACCCCACAGACATATTTATTATAACAACCCAGTCAATCACGTGAAAGCAACTGGCCAAGTTTATGGGCTACATTGAGATACATGCGGCTATGGGAAGCAATACGAAGCCCTGTGTTGATAATGTTGTTGGTGGGGGGTCGTTAGGGGGGGGGGTCGCGTGTCTATTTTTAGATGAATTGTTTGTGATTAGTTGTTCACATTGTCATTTCACCAGTGCAACATTTCCTGAAGTCTCTGTTTTCCAAGACCAGGTTTCCATACCGCAGTTTCCCCCGGACGTGTGTATGGGTAGACCTTGACACATTCTTATTGTAATCGGGCCCCCCAGTACAAGCTGCGAAACTCTGGAGGTGGACATTGTTTGGCAGTTCCGGTCAGTGTCCACAAAACGGGGTTGCCAGGGACGCACCTGCATACAATCATGTTCCTCGGCACTAATTGCCAGTGCAAACAAACCATACACCGGTGTCCGCAAAGCTAATGTCCAGCGTAAACCACGAGGGTCTCATCAATTGAGCAGGCAAATCTAAACCTGACCCAATGAAAACACGGTGTTTTTGTATGGACAGTGGTCATTCTTGTGATGGATTACAATCAAATGTATTCGATTCTCAAATGTTTGAATAGCTTGTCTGTAGGCCGGCAGGTAGCGTGGGGAACTGTCTGTAGGCCGGCGGGTAGCGTGGGGAACTGTCTGTAGGCCGGCGGCTAGCGTGGGGAACTGTCTGTAGGTCTATTGTTTATAGAAAATGAGAAGTTAACTCTTTTTTTTTTTTTTTTTTTTTTTGTAACACTTTGATCCACAGGGTATTTTCTCAAAATACCCAGACCCAGTGTCAAAAAAAAAAACTGCATCCGGTTAGTATAAATAAGTTTGCTAATGGGGCTTTAGTCACGGGTAGGTTAAGCATTAATCACAACTCGCCTAATGTGCCTGACTTTCAGAGCCTGCTAAACAACAACGCTTTAGTGCGAGCCTCTCGTTATTGCAGGCACCAAATCCAAGTTTCAATCACGTGACGCATGAACAATGTCGTGTCTTGACATCTCGTGAAGGGACGATCTCCAGGTCGATCTCCAGGTGAACAGTTTGACAGGAGTCCATCCATGCCGGGCCGGCTAGGAAACAGTGGGCATGCCAGCCCCGGTCCACAAGTGCTGTCCGCTCAAGGTCAGACGTAAAGGATATTTTATTTTTAAAATAATGGCGTTTAAGTAGGCTTGACATTTTTTTAATTTTTTTTTTTTTGCCAAAGTTGCCACCACAAAGTTAAATTTGGGAGTTATATTAAAACGTTTTCTATAATTTAACAGGAACTGTAAAATCACCTAGTTACCTTTACCCATGAAGTTGAGAGTTTTGAGATCCCAAAGACAATGACGGGTAGTGGGGTCCCAAGTTCTCACCCTCGTGAAAATTTGATGGGTCACTTAGGGTAAAGTTCACCTGAAAGATGATAGTGACATTTGTTGTAAGGTGACAAGTTTGTCATTTAAGTACAGATGTCTATACCATCAATGAAATATGCTGACTCGGGTCTTAAATAAGCCGACAACTTCACCGAAATGTATGTCTCGTGTTGTTTTAATTCGGAATGAAATGTTCCAACATACCTGCGCTACTACCAGAAATGAACTGTTCCCAAATACCTGTGCTCCTAACACAAATAAAATGTTAATAAATACCTGTGCTCTTAATAGAAATAAAATGTTCCTAAATACCTGCGCTCCTAACACAAATATAATGTTCCTAAATACATGTGCTCCTACAACAAAACAAAATGTTTCTAAATACCTGTGCTCCTAATAGAAATAAAAATGTTCCTAAATACCTGTGCTCACACCAGAAAGGAAATGTTCCTAAATACCTGTGCTCCTAACACAAATAAAATGTTCCTAAATACCTGTGCTCACACCAGAAAGGAAATGTTCCTAAATACATGTGCTCCTAACACAAATAAAATGTTCCTAAATACATGTGCTCCTAATAGAAATAAAATGTTCCTAAATACCTGTGCTCCTAACTGAAATAAAAATGTTCCTAAATACCTGTGCTCCTAATAGAAATAAAATGTTCCTAAATACCTGTGCTCACACCAGAAAGGAAATGTTTCAAAATACCTGTGCTCCTAACACAAATAAAATGTTCCTAAATACCTGTGCTCCTAATAGAAATAAAAATGGTCCTAAATACCTGTGCTCCTAACAGAAATAAAATGTTCCTAAATACCTGTGCTCACACCAAAAAGGAAATGTTCCTAAATACCTGTGCTCCTAACACAAATAAAATGTTCCTAAATACATGTGCTCCTAATAGAAATAAAATGTTCCTAAATACCTGTGCTCCTAACAGAAATAAAATGTTCCTAAATACCTGTGCTCCTAACAGAAATAAAATGCTCCTAAATACCTCTGCTCCTAACAGAAATAAAATGTTCCTCAATACCTGTGCTCCTGACAGAAATAAAATGTTCCTAAACACCAGTGCTTACACCAAAAATAAAATGTTCATAAATACCTGCGTTTCTACCAAAAATAAAATTTTCCTAAATACCTGTGCTCCTAACAGACATAAAATGTTCCCACATATCTGTACTCACACCAGACATAAAATGTTCCCACATATCTGTACTCACACCAGACATAAAATGTTCCCACATACCTGTACTCACACCAGACATAAAATGTTCCTAAATACCTGTACTCACACCAGACATAAAATGTTCCCACATATCTGTACTCACACCAGACATAAAATGTTCCCACATATCTGTACTCACACCAGACATAAAATGTTCCCACATACCTGTACTCACACCAGACATAAAATGTTCCCACATACCTGTACTCACACCAGACATAAAATGTTCCTAAATACCTGTACTCACACCAGACATAAAATGTTCCTAAATACCTGTACTCACACCAGACCGACCTGTGCCGGCGGCTAGACGAAACACTCATCTTGTCCACAAGTCCATTACTGACCAACTGGCCTCTGGCGCCGTTGACATCGATGATATTTACCAGCGTGGACAGTTCAACTCATTTAACCAGGTGAGCTAATCCACTGGATTATATTTCATTGCATAATTATAGATCTTTTTTTTTTAATTTGATTAAAAGCTATTAATACATGTAATAATGAAAAAATGGGGATTTCTACACTAATTAATAGGTTGTCTATGGTAATACCCTTAAGTATAATATGGAATGAGATCTTGGTGTTTCCCTTATTAAATATTCTATACTTTACTTCACAATTATTCAATAAACAATCCTGTAAAACTGAAGTATTTACAGGTTAGCAGCGTATATATGCAAACTGTTTATAATAAGGGATGTGTTACGAAAATAAGTTAGCGTTTTATGGAATTTTTTGTTCTAAGATTTGCGTTAAACGTTTAACATGATGTACATAAATCAAGTGTCTTAAATGTCTGCAGTCCCCGAACAACCCAGGGAGCAAAATCCCCGCACAAGGTTACCCACAGGAAGTTCGACGTGGCAATGACGTCATGTCGTCGGCCACGTACCGCGCCCAGCCACAGCCCCAGAAGCCGGTGTCCACCGTCCGACCCCAGAGCGCCATGGCCATCAGGTCACCCAACGTGCACAAGAGCGGCACAGTGGACCGTCCACCGTCGTCGCTGGGCGTGGCCTGGGGGACGTCTGCAGGAATATTTGATGGCGGCAGTGGAAGACAGCCAAATGTGGTGAGGCATGTCATGTGATATGTTGGCAGCGTCCTTTCGGAAGAAACGTAACGCCACCCCTCTCCCCTGGACTTTGGTCAATTTTTGGCATTCTTTACTACTTATGCTTAAAAACTCAGATGCTGAAAATTGGCAAAATGGTGTGATTGTCATGTGGTCACAAATTGGTTGATATAAAAAAAAAAAAAATTGGATAAGGGTGCATTCCCCAGCTAATCCCACTTTTTTTTTTTTTTTTTTTTTTTTGAAAAAAACAATTATTTTTTTTTTATTTTTTTTTTTTTTTTTTTTTTTGGAAAAGACCAATTATTTTATTTTAATTTCTCATTTTTGTAATCTTGAGAAATACAAAACCCTGTAGGAGAGGGCCACCTCCAAACAGATGTTGGAAGCAATTGTTTTCTCTCCCCTCTTTTGTAGACATCCCTGACTTCTGTCCCGGGTTTATTTTTTCATGTGTGTGTGTTTGTATGTCTCATGTGTGTGTAAGTGGTTTGAAGGTAGGTAAAGAAAAGACGTGGTGAGGTTCTGAAGGTTTCCAATGCTTGTTAACTACATCTCGTGCAAAGTTCACAGTTCAAGTTCAGAAACCTCAACCCCAGCGAGGTAGCAGTGTGCCGACGAGATTATATGTTGTTTTGTCCTAAAAGCAAATGTTTCGGGAATTGAATTTATTTGCGGTTTTAAATGTATGTTCATTAAATTTATGCGTTTAAGTTCTTTAGCCCTCGTATATAAAATTATGAACTTAAAATACGTGACAGCATAAAAAAAATTTGATCGCTGATCGCTTCTCACAGACGAATGGTGATAGGATGAGCTCAGTGAACACACAGGGGACACAGGACACACGGCCTACAACTGGATACGGTGGAAGTCAGCAACCGTCGAATCGTGTTCCCAATGGCCATTTGGTACGTACACTAAATATTGGACTTCGATATTAATTAACTATTAAAAGTGGCCATTTAATCATGGTGTCACGGTGGGTGAGAAATGGCGTATCTTTAACATAATGTTAAAAAGTAAAAATTACGAATTTAGGGACATCTGTAGTTTTCTTCACTATTATCAAACCAGAATTGCTTTTTTTTTCTTCAAAATCTCCTCCCTCTAAACAATTATACAGATCTTAATTATTGAACAAAAATTCAGGCTTCTATTTGGATGAATAGGTATACAAAGATATATGCACATGATCGAATTGATGTCATAGCTTCGTTTTATAAAGTCTGAACGTCACGTTATCAGGGATAGATCAAATCATTTGAAATCTTAAGATTGAGGTCGACAGGCAGTTTGCCCCATTAGGAAGCAGCGATAAGGGGGGGGGGGGGGGGGGGGTAGAGGCTAGCCCATCTCCTCTTTGTCCTATTCTAAATTAACCAGCCAGCCGTAGACGTTTCGCCAATTAGAACATTGCACGTGGACCACCATAATCATAAAACTCTCCAACTACAACTGTTCAGTTAATAGAGTTACCATTCATGTTTTGTTCAATGGATCGCCTAGAGGATGAAATCGCTGATAGTTCAACATTCAATTTTGCAAATAGGAAATAAAATTATAATTAAAATCTTATCAACGTTTTGACGGCTGGGGTTTTCGACATTTTATTTTCAGACGTCCGACGATCACAATGACCTGATGTTTCCTATACACCAAAAGAGCCGCAGTTTTGGTGATGGGGTCACTGTGGGCACGGCGGCGGCACATAACGGATATGACCACGTGGACAAAGCTTATCACAAGCCCGCCACGCGGTATGCGGGTGTCAGCCATCTTGACTACGACGTAAGAAAATTTCGGCAACATTCCCATTATATGTTGTTTTTTTTATATATATTGAAAAATCATCTGATTTCTGGCGATTTTTATTTTTTTTTATATAATTTCTTCGTGCTCATATCTTTACAAAAATGTCGCATGAATATTGGAGGCCCCATGCCGTTTGAGCTTCGGGTCCCCTTCTTTCAATGTTGATATTTACTTTGTGTTCGTTTGTAGTTCTTGAGAAAACCAATAAAACATAAAAAGTAAAACACTTTAAATTAGTTAACGGTACACCTCAAAGAGGAACTCGGCATTCTTTGCGGTTCACGAAAGCCTCGATCAGTCTAGCGCAGTGATCGGTAAATCACGGCTCGCGAGCCGCATGCGGCTCTTTAATGACCTGAGTGCGGCTCGGCCAGTCGACCATAAATCGGTTTTGACTCCGGAAAATATGGTTCTGGACAGGTTCTTGAAAAGAAATGTGCTTCTCAAAAAACAAAAAATAATCGTCCTGCTGCTGATTTTCTGGCTCTTTTGACTCATGAGTTTGCCGACCACTGGTCTAATGAGTTTTCCGACCACTGGTCTAATGAGTTTGCCGACCACTGGTCTAATGAGTTTTCCGACCACTGGTCTAATGAGTTTGCTGACCACTGGCCTAATGAGTTTGCCGACCACTGGTCTAATGAGTTTGCCGACCACTGGTCTAATGAGTTTGCCGACCACTGGCCTAATGAGTTTTCCGACCACTGGTCTAATGAGTTTTCCGACCACTGGTCTAATGAGTTTTCCGACCACTGGTCTAATGAGTTTTCCGACCACTGGACTAATGAGTTTTCCGACCACTGGTCTAATGAGTTTTCCGACCACTGGACTAATGAGTTTTCCGACCACTGGACTAATGAGTTTTCCGACCACTGGTCTAATGAGTTTTCCGACCACTGGACTAATGAGTTTTCCGACCACTGGACTAATGAGTTTTCCGACCACTGGTCTTATGAGTTTGCTGACCACTGGCCTAATGAGTTTGCCGACCACTGGTCTAATGAGTTTTCCGACCACTGGTCTAATGAGTTTTCCGACCACTGGTCTAATGAGTTTTCCGACCACTGGACTAATGAGTTTTCCGACCACTGGACTAATGAGTTTGCCGACCACTGGTCTAATGAGTTTGCCGACCACTGGTCTAATGAGTTTGCCGACCACTGGTCTTATGAGTTTGCTGACCACTGGTCTAATGAGTTTTCCGACCACTGGTCTAATGAGTTTTCCGACCACTGGTCTAATGAGTTTTCCGACCACTGGTCTAATGAGTTTTCCGACCACTGGACTAATGAGTTTTCCGACCACTGGACTAATGAGTTTTCCGACCACTGGACTAATGAGTTTTCCGACCACTGGACTAATGAGTTTTCCGACCACTGGACTAATGAGTTTTCCGACCACTGGTCTTATGAGTTTTCCGACCACTGGACTAATGAGTTTTCCGACCACTGGTCTAATGAGTTTTCCGACCACTGGACTAATGAGTTTTCCGACCACTGGTCTAATGAGTTTGCTGACCACTGGCCTAATGAGTTTGCCGACCACTGGTCTAATGAGTTTGCCGACCACTGGTCTTATGAGTTTGCCGACCACTGGCCTAATGAGTTTGCCGACCACTGGACTAATGAGTTTTCCGACCACTGGTCTAATGAGTTTGCCGACCACTGGCCTAATGAGTTTGCCGACCACTGGCCTAATGAGTTTGCCGACCACTGGACTAATGAGTTTGCCGACCACTGGTCTTATGAGTTTGCCGACCACTGGCCTAATGAGTTTTCCGACCACTGGACTAATGAGTTTTCCGACCACTGGCCTAATGAGTTTGCCGACCACTGGCCTAATGAGTTTGCCGACCACTGGTCTAATGTAACTAAGCACACATAAAAGCAGCATGATTGTCATGATGCGATCTAAAAGGTCGCGGTAGTGAGCCCTGCCTTCCACTAAAGCTTTTTTTTCTGCTTGTCACGATCTGAGAAAGTTTTAAGACGTAATTCTAGCTCTTTCCAGTCCATCGTTGGCTGACTGTAGTTTCTTGACTTCGTGTGCCTCTTCGGGGTCTTTATGTATCAGCAACGACTGAAGTCTTTTGACGCTAGTCTCATTATTGCCCTACCAACCACCAGCAACCTTGTACGTCATCCTGCTGTTCAGAACACACAAGTAAAATTCGAACCACCATTTTCCCATTGGACACCGTCTTATCAAAGAAGTCAGGATTGAATCTGCGGTTTCTTTTGATTTTTTTTACATTTGCAGTCCTTAATTTGGACAGCTCTAAGTGTCACAGTGTTAATAATTGAACAGTCGGACATACTTTTCATGTGCAAACAATTTTTTTTCCACATCGCAAATTGAGGACTTAATAATAGCCAAGGAACTAGGCAGCCGTGAGAGTTGCAGGGCCGAAGTAAAGGTTCTTTATCTTTAGTCTTCTGAACTCTTCCGGAATTTCGATCTCTCTTACCATAAATAAAATCATTTCATTCATAGTTCACCCTGTTTTAGTCAGCTTGTAATACACTTATAGTACGCTTGTAACTGCAAACATCTCTTTATGGTCACTGTTATTCAAATATTTTGATTAAAGTGATCATATTGAAGTGGTCGTTGAGCCGGTCCATGAGTAATTAACTGTGGCCTGGCCCAACCGGGACTGCATCTTTGAAAAAAAAAGGACCAAATGAAGAAAGTGATGCTAAAATGGTAATAAAAACTATAACTTCACTATAAACATAAGATACACAGTCTACATCTCCTATCATTTGGACTTCCTCTACAGTCTACATCTCCTATCATTTGGACTACCTCTACAGTCCAACTCTCCTATCATTTGGACTTCCTCTACAGTCCAACTCTCCTATCATTTGGACTACCTCTACAGTCCAACTCTCCTATCATTTGGACTACCTCTACAGTCCAACTCTCCTATCATTTGGACTACCTCTACAGTCTACATCTCCTATCATTTGGACTACCTCTACAGTCCAACTCTCCTATCATTTGGACTACCTCTACAGTCCAACTCTCCTATCATTTGGACTTCCTCTACAGTCCAACTCTCCTATCATTTGGACTACCTCTACAGTCCAACTCTCCTATCATTTGGACTTCCTCTACAGTCCAACTCTCCTATCATTTGGACTACCTCTACAGTCTACATCTCCTATCATTTGGACTACCTCTACAGTCCAACTCTCCTATCATTTGGACTACCTCTACAGTCCAACTCTCCTATCATTTGGACTTCCTCTACTATGTCCAGCTCTCATAATTTTAAAATAATTATTTACTCTTCTGTAAAAATCAGTAGTGCGTTACACACTTTTTTTTCTTTGTAACTTGTTTCTTCTGTAGTTAAAGAGTTTATTTATGAAAGATTGCCACCGATAAATCGATCATTGCCCGCACGCTTGGCGTGGCTTGTGCCGGCGTTGTGTATTGTTGGACGTCCATTGTACGACACCCAACGATCGATCAGACACGACATTCGTTTTATGAAGATATGGGTTTCTAGCGGACTTGTGTACTGCTGGAAAGAGAATAGCCAGCTTTTGATTTATTGTGTAAATAATAACATAAGGTTTAAAGGTTTTCGCATGGAATGGTCAAGAATATTTATAAATAACCTTTAAAAAAAAAGTAACGTCCGCCCTTACTGCCCGTTAGAATTTTAGTATTTTAAAATTGCAAAAGATAATTTAATCTAATTTATTATTTCCGTCCCCGTCCCCCCCCCCTTTTAAATCTAGTCAAATCTCACCAATGGACACAGAGATCTCTTGAGGCAAGACGGACAGCCAATGGGAAGGCTGCAGCCGCAACCAATGAAATCACCGACAGCTTACAATCACATACTTAAAACTCCTCAAGGGCGAGAAAATTTGGCTTTTGTACATGATGACAATAATATGGGCACTTTAGCGACTAGGTTTGTAACAATTTAACTGGGACTTTCAATATATCATTCCTCACATACAGATGGCCACTGGATCTGAATGTTGTTGATGAAAAAGATATAACTGAAAAGAGACAGTTCATGAGTAACATACACCATATTTGAATGCTACTTTTTCAGATTTTATCACAGAAAAAAATCTTGAAAGCCCTTTCCCTCTGTATCTGTATAATTATAATTTTTTAAATATTATAGCTAAACATGAAATAAGTGATAATGATCACATATATTAACATTAATAAATTCAATCGTGTGACTTTAGTGTCTCCTACTTTCACTCTTTGCTAAAGAATGCGGTTATATGTCCCTCTCCTACTTCTCCTACTTTCACTCTTTGCTAAAGAATGCGGTTATATGTCCCTCTCCTACTTTCACTCTTTGCTAAAGAATGCGGTTATATGTCCCTCTCCTACTTTCACTCTTTGCTAAAGAATGCGGTTATATGTCCCTCTCCTACTTTCACTCTTTGCTAAAGAATGCGGTTATATGTCCCTCTCCTACTTTCACTCTTTGCTAAAGAATGCGGTTATATGTCCCTCTCCTACTTTCACTCTTTGCTAAAGAATGCGGTTATATGTCCCTCTCCTACTTTCACTCTTTGCTAAAGAATGCGGTTATATGTCCCTCTCCTACTTTCACTCTTTGCTAAAGAATGCGGTTATATGTCCCTCTCCTACTTTCACTCTTTGCTAAAGAATGCGGTTATATGTCCCACTATTCCCTTACCACAGTACAAACACAACCAACAACGAACTTCGCAGCGCCTGGCAGAGACTCTACGGCAGCCGACCTGAACCAGTTTCACTGAGCCGTGAACCATCTGTAGACGACACGCACTCTAGGAACACACCCACTGTTGACAGCAATGCCAGGTTCCAAACTGGTCAGGTAATACCTGCTCCATACGGTTGCCTTATGTAAAATGTCATGGACAGCCAAACTTTGGGAAATAACTCAGCATTTTCCCCTCCTACATGGCGAAATCCAAACAGTCAAGTTTCTGAACTGTTTTCTCTTTTCTTGATGTTTCTTGTTTTGTCTTGTCTGCCGAAGAAGGCTCTTAGCCGAAACGTTCTCCTTTTTAATTGTCCTGTCTTTTCATTGCAAGCTTCAACAGAACTTGTTCCACGATTGCCTTTACACATCTTGAGCGCTGTCCTTTATGTATTATTCAGTATCACGGGACGTGTTTAGACTCTTATTCTTTCAACATTGTCAGGTTAAGCTAACATTGACCATTTAAAATTTTGTGCAAGCCTAACATTTTAATATATTACTTGCATTTAACGAGTTTCGTTTTTTTTTCCAACCAACTGGAACTCATTATACCATTAAAATAAAAATATTATAAGATAAGTCTTAATTTCAGTAACACACATCAATTTTTTTTTTTAGCAACAGATACTTTATTCCATTAAAAATCATTATGGTATTCTCCACCACACAGAATAATCAGGCGTCACCAGCATACAGTCGAGCGAATCCTAATACACAGCCTCCGACTAGACGCAACAGTAACGTTATCAGTACACCAATAAGCAACAGAAGACCGAGCAGTGGGTCCATTGGTGCCCAACAGCCCACCTCCTCGTCCCAAGATGGCGGTAAAACAGACTTCCGTTACGGCAGCACGTTGTCCCTGAGTCAACAACAGATCCTTCCGGGGCGAGTCAGTCCGACGGGTCAAAGCTCAAGCAATCCTGACCCAGTTTCCGGCGTCAGCAGTTCGAACCAGCTCAGCTCCTACTCGACAACAAACAGAAATCTGAGTACCTTCAAACCCGAAAAGGAAAAACCTGGCCAACAATTCGTGGATCCCGCCATCGGCCCCGCGGCCAAATACCCTGACACGCCGATCCAGTCGTCCAGAAAACTTTCCCCATCAAATTTGCACGGCCAGAATTTAGCCAAGCCAACATCTAGGCCAAGCTCGGCATCGCCACTTTTTCACGGACAAAGACTGCGAAGCAACTCGTCGAACTCGGTGGATACCATCGAGTTCAACGTCGGCTACAACTTGCCTCACGGCATCTCTCGAGGACATAACAAGGGCTCCGCTTTTCTCGAAAGCGAGGACGACCTGGGGGACGAATATTCCCTTCAGCCTTTGGACAGCATTTTCGATTTCCCGGATGCAGACAGTGAGAATGGTTCAGCGACGCCTCGTTTGCCCGATCTGTCCCCCAATGTCACGCCAAGGGGGTCTGGCAGATCCACGCCTGCTAACGTCTCGAACTCGCGTTTTAAGCACGCCTCCCCTGTCACTTCTGGAGGTCAAAGGTCACCACCAAAAACCCCGGATCTGTTAAGGGCCGGTCAGAGTCTTCGGTCGGCACCGGTTGCCAGAGTGCCGGACAGTAAAGGACGGACACAATCCAACAGCCAAGTAAAAGATGACAAAAGATTTTTAAACAGTCGTAACCTTGACCTTGGAGGGCCTCCTGGCGGAAGACATTTGCTTACAGAATACAGTAAAACATTATTTTATTACCATTTTGTTTTAGTGTAAGAGTAATTTTCTTAAAGGTTAGTTTTGTTGTTAGGGTTGGGGTAAGGTAAGTTTAGACCCTAACCCTGAGACATTGATAGAAAGAGCCATAACGATAACGTATCTTGATTAATTTGCAACCGAAATAAAAATGTTGTTTCTTTTTTCACATTAAAAATGAAGCATTACCAACTAATATAACATATATAAACGAGTCCGACTTTCTTTGAATAATTATAACTACCTCTTTGTGATGTCAGCACGCAGCAGAAGTCTGGAAGACGTCCGAGAGTCAGGGAATGAGAGTACCATTTCATTTGACATTGAGAACACGATGCTGACCGTGGAACCGTCTGACCAGTCAGAGATGGGAACACTCAGGTCATTCAAGAGTACATCGGTCAGAGCACAATTAAACAGGTAGTGAATATAGAGGAGACGCCACTCTTTGAACATGATTGAGTAGTGGATTTGTGATTTTACTGTCGTACTATTATTTGTAGGCGTGTTCCTACTTACGTTACACCTATACGTCTTACGGTCTATTTAGATGTTATAGCTTGTGTGTTGACCTTTTTTGTGCTTCAACGTAGCGATGTAGCGTCCACTCTTAACTCTTAACTCACCCACTTTTTTTTTATTTTGCCATTGACGTCGACGATTAAAAGTTTCGCGTTCCACCATTACCCACTTTTCACTTTTAATGAGTGTGCTCCTTTATGCTAGTAAATTTGTAACCTATATTTTTCAAAATTGACCTATGTCAAAATGGACTTTGTTGTAAAACAAATCTCATCGGTAAAGCCATTAGACATATATTCTGGAAAAGATTTATTTTCTTTTACGAAAGATTTAGAAATAAATTAGTTCATTCTGCGTTAAAAAATACATTTAAAGATAAGATCATCGTCCATTTAGTGGAAGAAGATCTGTTACCTGACAATGATCTGGTCTCAGTCAATGAATAAAAAGGAAGCGAAAATTGGGCCAAAACACAGGCTAGAATACTAGATATGCTCCTAAGTATGTTTTAGCTATAGTTGAAACATGGATATGTGCCTTTTTGTTATTTTAGCTTTGTTTTTTTTCCTTAATTTTAGGTGTTTCTTACTATATGTGTAGCTATATGCCGTGCTATAACTTTAGCTGTACATCTTATTTCTCATCAGACTAGAAGGCATGTATTCTCGTGTATTACAAACTCTAGAGGAGACGGCCAATGAGTCTAAGACCAGGAGGAGGTGGAGCATCGGCAGTTCGGATACCAGCTCCCTCAGGCAGCCACAACGTCACAGCAGGCACGGTCGCTCGTCTGCTCACAAGCTTGGGGGTCGGGACGTTAAGTAAGTCGTTCATACCTTGGTTTTGTTATCAAAACGATTTAAATTCACCTGTGTCGAGAAGGTTTCTTGAAGTATAATAGGTGTTTTTCTTTTCTCCGCCCATTTCTAAATGGTATGGCTGTCTACCACCACACGTAAAGAATATGTACGATGCCTGCATGGTCTTAAAATTAAACTTTAGTCATTATTCTAACAAACTAATATAAAATGCAATCACTTTTTATGTTAACGGTATTTCAATACAATTGTATAGATGGAAATTTTTGTGTTTTTTCAAGGATAAACAAAGTCCTGGCCAAGCAATGTTTTCGTGGCCCCAAGTGTATTTTTTAAATGTCAAATTACGGATACTTATATTTTTTCAATGAAATCACTATAAATCTTAAGTTGAAAAGTATAGATTTTCAGACCTCTATTGTTAAAGAATTATCAACAAGAAATAACCTGCCAAAGAATGGCGACTGCAATGAGTGAACTTCCTTTCTACTGAAGTTACTTGACAAAGCATGCACTGAGCTATCACATTTTATAAAAATACCAATCACTGCTAACTTCTGGGAATTTTATTTTTGTGTCATTTTAATACAGCGTTGCAGCCAAACATACAAAAAAAAAAACTAGAGAATTATTTTTTGTATTTTTTTAAGTGTTGTTTTACAATATAGTCTGATTTTTTTGCAGATGTATGTTCCTTTTCAAATTTAGATCATATTGAATATGAGGCCCTATGAAAGAGTCTTTACTTTTTACTTAAATGCCGAAAAACGAGATATTTTAATTAGATCTGGATGGCTAAGGATACATCAGCCCATTGGGGTGGTGGGGGGGGGGCTACTACATGCTTGCCTACCCTTCCACAATAAAACCTCTGCATTTGGCCGAAAAATCCACCCCTCCATGTATAGAAAAGGTGACGAATGGGGCGTACCATTCCTTCGACCCCCCCCCCCTCTTTTTTTTCATATGCCTCTGCTGTTTTAAACAAAACTATGGCCTTCGCAAGAAAATATAAACGTAACAAAGGAGATAAACAAGCAAAGAGATATTATATTTATGTTAACCCTCTGCAGCTTTTAAAAATCATTTTCCTCTCTATTGACAGGGCCATCAATAAGCGGTTTCAGAGACTTGAATCACACGTCATAACATTAGCAAGAAGTGTTGCGCACCTTTCATCGGAAATTCGCACCCAGAGCACAATGACGCGAGAGATTGAGAACGTGAAACGGGAGATCAACGAGCTGAAACAGGACAAACACGCAGCCGCGCCATCTTCGGGACACGCTACCGTGGGGAGCAGCCCACATTTAAACGACAGTGAAAAATATCGCTACTGGTCTCCCTTCTTCGCTAACCCAAGGCGTGTTGGTAAATTGACAAGGTGGGTTCAGTTTGTTCAAATGTAATCCAATGTCAGTCAAGGCCTCTTTCATGCCACGGATAAGTTAAATCGCATGCACACAAAGCGCCTCTCTCTTGTTGCCATCATGTCATGTATGTGTTAGGACTGGATTGACTTTGGTTGGGAGGGGGGGCAGCCTTTACTACCCTTTCTCTTTTCAAAGTAGGCCTACTCTCTGTAATTCTCCGTACATTTCAAATTTTCAAAATTTTCACTCATGTATTGTAATACTTATTATTATATATTGTGTATTTATTTATTTAGGCATTTTTATATAGCGCTTACCATAAAGCTCTTAAGCGCTTTACAATTATTAAAAACATGTAAACTAAGTAAATAAAAATGAGACACTAGGATAGTAACTACTATACTATAGAAACAATGAAAATGGCTATAAAACGAGGACACTTTGACACTTGGACACTTCAGGATCAACCCGAAACAGACAGGGCAAGGAGGGTGCATCACAGGTCATAGGCGGACCTAAACAGATGAGTTTTAAGGGACTTTTTGAAAATGGACGAGGTTTCACAATGGCGGATATGGAAGGGGAGCTGGTTCCAGAATGTATACTACGTGTACAGTAAAGATAATCCCAATTATATTCGATAATAACGCGTTGATTTCTTATTCCGTTTTCAGATTCTTTGGACAGGAGCCGCCATTACTGGAACTCTTCCTTAAGAAATTAGGATACGAGGTATAAGGCGTTTTATTTTAGCCTCCTCTCCAAACGATGTTTTTCAAAAAAACTAATATTTAATTTTATGCAATAGTATAAAAGAAAGTTTTCCACACAAAAAAAAAATCTTAAGATTTTCTTAAACTAAAGATTTATTCTTTAGTTGCAGGGTCATTTTACTTTAATTTTTTTTTTAAATATAATATTCTTTTTTAGAAATTCCTCAAGAACTTTGAAACGCAGCATATAGGCATGATAGAGCTTCCGTATATGACAGAAGACAGGTTGGAGAGTATTGGAATCCCCATGGGACCGAGGCTGAGAATCTTACAAGAAGCCCAGATCTGTGTGAGGAAAGGAGACTTTGATATCTACTTCGTCTGATCTGATAAGACTGCAAGACATACTTTTCTAGATGTCAAATCTGATACACCAATCACCGTCTCGTGTCTACAGCATTTATAAACTAGGATCATTGGGACTCTAATGCTGACGACCGAATTATTGTTAGCTTCGATGTGTTATGACTTCTTGGGATTGTTGTTGACATAAATGAATGTTTAGTTGTTTCAGAGAGTTCCAATTCAAGAATGTTACTGCATGTGGCTGTTTTATAAGAAGGGTGATCAAAATAAAGAGAGAAATTAAATACACACATTTCCTCTACAGTGGGCCCTGAAAGGTTTAATTTGTATCAAATATAAAAAAATCATTTGAATCTTTGGCAGAAGAGATGACGTTCGTGGATGAGTTCTGTCAACTGCCAATCTCAGGATTATGTGTTCTAGATTGTGTGTAGGTTTCATTTTCGGAAAGTTTCCATGAAGTTATCTGCATAAACTTGACAATCAGTTAACATAGGGTTTGACCTGCGCGGATTGCTTTGTGTATGGTTCGAGGCTTGGAGCTCGTCAACGTGAAAATATGTATTTAACTTACAGTAATCAACAAGTTTGGATGATCTGATCGATTAGATTTGAGGAACACTTATTGACTCACACGCAGTCTTTGATGATGAGTGATTGTGGTGAAATTTGGAGGCAAGAGACACATACAGGTTTAAGATAGCAACAAACTAGGAGAAGATCGTTTTGGACAGCAACAAACGAGGAGAAGATCATTTTGGACTCAGTTATTAAAAGTCGTTGTCGCAGTTGTAACATGAAGGATTTTGTTTGAACCATTTCGTGGTTTTGAAATATGTTTTAAATTAATATTTAAAGCTATAACTATAAAAGTTGGTACAAAACAAAATAAAATCTTCAGGTAACTGACACTAAGAAAATCTTCAGGTAACTGACACTAAGAAAATCTTCAGGTTACTGACACTAAGAAAATCTTCAGGTAACTGACACTAAGAAAATCTTCAGGTAACTGACACTAAGAAAATCTTCAGGTAACTGACACTAAGAAAATCTTCAGGTAACTGACACTAAGAAAATCTTCAGGTAACTGACACTAAGAAAATCTTCAGGTAACTGACACTAAGAAAATCTTCAGGTAACTGACACTAAGAAAATCTTCAGGTAACTGACACTAAGAAAATCTTCAGGTAACTGACACTAAGAAAATCTTCAGGTAACTGACACTAAGAAAATCTTCAGGTAACTGACACTAAGAAAATCTTCAGGTAACTGACACTAAGAAAATCTTCAGGTTACTGACACTAAGAAAATCTTCAGGTAACTGACACTAAGAAACACCTTAAGCAGGATATTATTTGAAAGTCCAGAAATTGTGTTTCAATTTTTAAAAGGGCTCTCATTTTAAAATTATGTAGCTTTTTATTTTGGTTTCGCGAAAAGGGGGGCGTGGGGGGGGGGTGTTGACGAACTGGGTAAGGCATTAAGAGAGTAAATCATACAACATTTTCACATGTTATCTAATATTGCTTTAGAGTTGGTAATATGTGGAGGAAACTTTTGTCTCATTTCAGTAATAATTCCAATTTCACTTACAATACATTATGACATTTCATTTCTACTTAAACATGTCATTACACTTCACTTTGCATGCGACCGTTCTGGTTGAAAAATAAAAACATTAATTTTAATCTTAAGCCAACCCCTACTGCTCTGTTGTCGAGCTGGTCTTCTCATTATTATTATGTCCATTTTAATCCGTCCATACTTACACACATGTACGCGTATTATTGTGTTATTGATTTATTCCTTGGCATACTCAAATTGTGGGCCTGGGCAGTGTTATGGGTCTTGTGTACAAATATGAATCATGAGCTATTTATCCTATAAAGAATGTCTCCAGGTTGATTTTGCTCTTTGTTATTGCTGTTGACTTGAACTTAAATTTATTTTATTTGTTTGTTTTTGTTTTTCGTGGCGTTATTACTATTTTTAATGGACAATATGCCTGCAACTTTGGTACAAATGTTACAAGAAGTTAGCCATAAATTAATGACATAAGGAATTAATGGACCGTCCACGTATTCTATAACACAAAAATATGACATTTTTTACTCACTCCGCTATCTTTTGTAACGTTATAAAACATCTCCATTAACCACCTACTATTACTAATGCTAATGTTATATAAAATTCCCAGGATCTTCCCGATAAATTGATTTGAGTCAAATTACATGCCAAAAAAGCAAATTTCAAGTAAAAACCAGAAATTAATTTTGTACTCTAATGTGCTAATTATTTTAACCAAAAAATACACTTTAGTTGCTAATATCTAGGAAATTTTCGGACATTTGACGGGTAAAAAAATATAAATAACTTTAAAATCAGCAAAAATAATTGTTCAATGATAGTGCTGTCTACCGGGGGAAGACATCGAAAGTATCTACATTTTTTAACCACCTCAGTGGTCTCAATGAAAAATAATCTATACAAGATATACAGTGCAGTGGCGTAGAAAGGGGGTAACGGAGGCGGCGCTCTGCCCCGGGTGGCACATTTTTTTTTCCTTAATATTGATGGCGGCATTTTTGGGGCCTCTTCGAAATTGCTATTTTTTTTCGTGGAAGAAGGCTGCAAAAATTCTTGCCCCACTCCGTGCAGCACCGACCCTAGTTACACCACTGATCTAATGTCATATGTTTAGTGTCTCTTTGCTTCTGTGATGGCGCGGTTCATACGAAGAATTAAAAGTTGCAGATGTGACAACATTATGACAACAATATCGCGCCACTTTGATCATGTTGAAAAGGGATTAAACATTGATGGCTGCCAGAGTGGGCGGGTACCAACATGTGCCAGAAAAGAACAACCGTTTTATAAGGGTAATGAGAGGGAATGACTGCAATCAGGTTAGCCAAAAAGAAAATGAGTAAAACAAAGTATGTGAAAACCTGAAGAAAAAAAAAGGAATTCAACAAAACAACGAACGTGTCGACAGGAAGCCGTCGTCAGCGAACAAACAACAGTAAAAACAGGATTAAATAAAAATAGCACTTAGCTGAAAAGTAGTATCCCAGAGGGCAGACAAAGAATTGTAGTGACAGTTTTAGAAGTGGCGACCACTGGGTCCACTTCTATATAACGTGTTATAAACACCACTCATGCCGGAAGTATCAACTTTTTCAAACGACGCGTTACAAACACCACTCATGCCAGAAGTATCAACGTTTCAAACAGTCAAGAGAAATTCCATGCCCTAACTAGAGACGAAACAGGATAGGCTTTAGGATTTGTGAACAGCTTTTAAGAAATCCGAAAACCGTTTAATGGAGTACGAAATACTTTATTTACATTCCCAATATTTATGGAACAGAATGTTTAAACCTGTTATTTCTCCATGTGTGTTTGTTGTGTGATGTAGTCTTTTAGCTGGAATTTATTTTAGTTTTATTTTTTTTCAAATTTAAATGATTATTTTTATATGGTCAAGTTAATGATTGCGCGACTGTGTGTCTTCTAGATTGTGATTTGATGGGTCCTCTCTCGTTTTCAGCTTGGCGTCCTCAAGAATCTGATTGGCTTGTTTACATTCTAACGCGTACTGATGTTTCAATAAATGAGAAAGCTCCCGGCCTCGGGTTCGAATGCCTTGCACAAGATTAGTCTGGCTTTTTTCCAATGCAGTGAGCTGAACGAATATAAGAAAGAAAAACAATGTGAAAGGGTGGTTTACTTTGGTTCAGTGGCGTGTAATAATTTAAAGCTCTGTAATGAGCTCTTAGCACTTTATTTTTACAAGTACTTAATAGATAGCCTGGAACAGCGATTACTTGACACATTAACTACAAAAGTGTGGCATATATTCCTTATTCCCGTCAGCGAAAAACAGAGCGATTTTTTACTTTCAAACTTTTCTCGTAGTTTCAATAAAATAAACACGCCTTCTTTGACTATTTGGTTTAGAGGAATAGAGAGAACACGAATTTCGTTAACTCTGAGTGTGCAATGGGGCTATTGAATTATTTCTAGTTGGTGACAGCGCACAATGAGAAATGAGGCAAATTAATTAGTACGGAGTTCGATATACGACCAAGCCATTTTATAATTATTTAAGACTCGCTCACACTCCCGTCTTCTTCCACGTCAAAAAGACCAAATGAATGCGTCTGCAAATAGGCTCCTGGTTTGATAATAGTATCATCATATTATAATGAAGGTCGTTTCCTTGCACAAAATAAGCTTACATATCCCTTTTTTGGCACATTTGCATAGGTGTATGTATTAGTTAGTATGACGTTGTGACATCACCTCGTTGATAAGGTCAGTACTTTGACGGCGTTCATTATATGGTTGGCTGTAAAGTTTTTCTTTGATCTCATGCAGGGGCTTCTCTGTGTTCATCAGCTTCTCATATAAAGCTTCTCTGAGAATTAGACACACACACACACACATATATATATATATATATATACACACATAAGAGTGTAAACGTCAAACCTAGAATTGATACAGAGGCGTTAAAGAACCCTTTATAATTTATGACCGTAATGCAAGTTCGCCTCATAAAAATAGTACTAAAAGCTAAATTGGAATTATACTGATGCAAACGTTAGTGTTGAGTTTTGCGCACCAGGTCAAGATTTTCACTTCTCCTTGACTTGCCAAGGTACAAATTTCTGCATATATATATATGCAATAAATAAATAAATAATATATATATATATATATATATATATATATATATATTATTTTTTGTGTGGGGGAGGGGAAAGTAAACTCCTCCTCTCAATTACTCAATGTTGGCAACACGAGTTAAGGCTATCAATACCCACTTCCAAAATAATGGATGGAATATACAAAACGCAAGTTGACCTGAAAGTAAACATTGTTAAAATTAGATGTTACAAATTACTTTGGGCTTCTCGAATTCGCTATTAAAAAATCTCTGAATTTCCTATTCCGTCTGTCAGTCTTTGGAATAACACGGCACCTTGGCTTATGCCCTCAGCGACCACTACACCACTACACCACTACACCCACAATCCCTGGTCCATGCGGTGGTGAAACCATATTTATAGGAAAGAGTTGTTGCATTTGTATCTTAGGGAACACTAGACACTATGTCGGGATCACCTTACTCTTCTCATACTCATAGGTGCATTTCCAAAACACGACCACAGGCAGCGCATCAAACCCGTCTATCCAAGTGTGATGTGGGATTGTGACTACACTGAATGTAGATTAACGTTCAATTACAGCGAAAAAAAAATTCTTCTTAGTTCCTGCGTGCCTATCGAATGCAGTTTACTTTGTGTTACCAGAATAAGTAACAGAGAGTGTACTACTTTGAATACTTGCGATCAAACACTTCTCCTTACCTGTCATTGGACACTTCCTGGATTTGTCTTATGGTAGCGTTGATTTCATTATCAATTACCTTCTGGCCGCTGATAGCCATGGTTCGTGTGGACGGCGTGTAGGTGTTGCATATGGGATCTGTGCTGCTGATCTCTTGCCTCTCTACGCGCACTTTCGGGCATATGTAACAGTATCCCCCGAGACCATCCGGGACTCGAACACAGTTTGACTTGACCAGCGCACTCTCGGCTCTCACGTCAGCCGGCTGGGCTGTTTGTCCGTTAAGCTGCATCAGGTAGCTCCATTCCTTGTCGCCTTCGTCGAGGAACCTCTTCGGGTCGGTGAACTGGCCGCGCTCTTTCTGGAAGGTGATGTCTTGAAGATACGTCCTCATTGAGTTTTTTAACAACCTCTCATCCGTGGCGAAGTGCGACATTGGCGAGTTGTATTTGTTCTTTCTGAAGGTTTCATTCTCTTTCTCCGTCTGCTCCTCGATGCTGACGTGAGACACGAGCGGCGGCGGGTTGCACATGGCCGACAGGCAGTTGGGGTCGAGCTTGTTCCCGTCCCCGTACGACCGGGCTACGGCCTCTAACTGGGCACTGCGCCCCAGCGCCGGGGTCATCGGAAGGTTCGGGTCACGGCACAGGCCTGTGGACGTGGTTGTGTTGGTGGTGTTGGTGGCCTGCGCCGCGGAATTTGTCGAGGGCTGCTGGTATCTATAATCGCACGTGTCCAGCAGCGGTGGGAGCCTTCGATTGGTTGTATCGGGCAGATTAGTGAGCTTCCCTCCCACGAGCTGCGTGCGGCTGTACGGGTAGAATATGTTGTTTCCCTGTTGCCTCTGCGAGTAGCACGGCGGGCGATCAGATTCCTGAGGGGCCGCTTGTGCCGTATTTGGTGTCTGATGGATGATGCCCCATGACGCCTGCGGGTTGTTTGTGGTGTTCGGGAGTTCCCTAATCCCGTACGTAGCTTGTCTCCACGGCACGTTGAACTGACCGATGTCATTTCTGGGGCATAAGAAATCTTCTGCTCCATCTCTAGAAAGAAAACAAACGATCACAATACAAATATGAATAAAGTTTCAAAAGACTAAAAAAAATTTTTTTCTGTAATAGTATTATTATAGTGGTCTTATTCAGCGCGGTACCCCAGCCTTGGATATTTTATATTCGGTGGTAACGTGGTAACGAATCCTTTTTTTTTTTTTCTTTCCTTTAAACAAAAATCTAAAGCATCAATTATTAATAAACAACAACTACTAAACCATGGTTTAACTAAACTACAAGAACCAGGCAGGCCACAATGAATTATGTTTTAACTTAACTCCAAGTATCAGGCAGGTCACGATGAACCATGTTTTAACTAAACTCCAAGTACCAGACAGGTGATAATGGTCCATGTTAAACTCATCCCCCGAGTACCAGACAGGTCATAATTATCCATGTTAAACTCATCCCTCGAGTACCAGACAGGTCATAATTATCCATGTTAAACTCATCCCCCAAGTACCAGACAGGTCATAATTATCCATGTTAAACTCATCCCTCGAGTACCAGACAGGTCATAATTGTCCATGTTAAACTCATCCCTCGAGTACCAGACAGGTCATAATTGTCCATGTTAAACTCATCCCCCAAGTACCAGACAGGTCATAATTGTCCATGTTAAACTCATCCCTCGAGTACCAGACAGGTCATAATTGTCCATGTTAAACTCATCCCTCGAGTACCAGACAGGTCATAATTGTCCATGTTAAACTCATCCCCCAAGTACCAGACAGGTCATAATTGTCCATGTTAAACTCATCCCTCGAGTACCAGACAGGTCATAATTGTCCATGTTAAACTCATCCCTCGAGTACCAGACAGGTCATAATTGTCCATGTTAAACTCATCCCCCGAGTACCAGACAGGTCATAATTGTCCATGTTAAACTCATCCCTCGAGTACCAGACAGGTCATAATTGTCCATGTTAAACGCATCCCTCGAGTACCAGACAGGTCATAATTGTCCATGTTAAACTCATCCCCCGAGTACCAGACAGGTCATAATTATCCATGTTAAACTCATCCCCCGAGTACCAGACAGGTCATAATTATCCATGTTAAACTCATCCCCCGAGTACCAGACAGGTCATAAGTATCCATGTTAAACTCATCCCCCAAGTACCAGACAGGTCATAATTGTCCATGTTAAACTCATCCCTCGAGTACCTTGTAGGTCTTAAATGTTTTGAATCTTTGTCTGCTTGTATTGTTATGTAGGTGCTTTTCCTTGTCTCACCCAACAATTCCATCTTGAAAATCAGGCTGTGTTTCTGTTGGAAATAAGGACATTTTAGATCAAATTTTCAGACTCTACAAGTGTGAATTACAATAAAAATCACTGTTGAGCTCTTGTGATGCCATACTATTTAGGGGAGAGGGGAGACAGTGCGAAAAATCGCCCGGTACTTAATTAATTTTTTATACAGAAATAAACTAAAAATATTTAGATTTGAACTATTTTCGTTTTTATCTCCATTAAAAAAACAAATAATTTCCAAGTTTGACATAGAGAGAGAAGGGGGGGGGTGGAGAGGGAGGGGGAGAGGGCGAGAGAGAGGGTCGAATGCTTCAGTTATTATAAATGTGGGGCATAAATGAAATGAAGTTAACATTTTTCCTTTAAACGTCAAAAAAAAAAGGGGGGTTGTGGGTATGAAATGAAGAGTGATCAATTTTAATACATTAATTGTGAAATTTTCAAAATGATCCTATTGATCTGTTCTCATGTATTGAAAACACCAGAGACTTCACAGCACATCTGCCTCACGTGAAATACGATTATTGGCAAACCTTATAACAATAATAATAATAATAAAGCTTATCGAGCAGTTGCGTAGAAAAGGTGGGGGGGGGGTGTTAAGGGTATGGCCCGCCCCGTGCGGCCCCTTTTTTATTTTTATTTTATGGGGCGATATTTCATGACCAACTTCCAAGTTTTCTCATGGAAGGGGGCGCCGAAAATCTTTGCCAGCCCTGGGTGGCACCTACTACCAGCAACCCTAAATACGCCATTGTCTTAGAGAGAATTTTTAAAAAAACCTCGACTGTTAAGAAAACGGCTTTTCTCTGTCTCTGATAGCAATATCCAGGCCGTTAGATTTTGTTAGAGTCATACTCTCCTATGTCCGAGTTGTGGATTTAGTCAAAAGGGTCATTTTCTGGTTTTTTAACAATTTTTTCTTTCACAAATGTTATTCAGAATTTAGAGTTTTTTCAAGTCTGACCATTGCCAGCAAGTAAAAATATTGTATGTAGCTGTCGGTTCATTCTGATTTGACTATTCCTTTGCCATACACTGCCTACTATAACAACATTACGGCGTGGTGTACAACGTTCGATAAACCGGAGTTTTCAAATAACCAAACTTGACGGCCTCATAATCCGTGAACGTCTTCGCTCTACTGTTTGTAATTTGAACTTTGAACTTTTGCCATTTCTTTAACTTTAATATAGCGTTTATCAGATGTTCAAAATTACTCTTTAATAATTATTCATAAGAGATCCTATAAAACTTACTTTTTATCAATGTGTTCTTTGTACAGATGGCTCTTTAGGCTGATACCTGCATTTCTTAAATCAGTCGAACAAATCCCTAGCATTCCAGCGCCACCCAGGGAAAAAGCCGTTGTTTTTTTTCCTTCCTCTGTAGTTATTTTGTTTTTAGTTTTTTGATATATCCGTTCTGGTATGACTCGTTCCAGTGCAGAGCATGTGGTTTTTTTCCTGTGCAACTTAGATACATTAGTGCGTCATTTCTTTTACTATGAGAATGACTAGTGCTGTAGCTAGGAGTTGTGATGCCCCCCACCCTCCCCCCAAACCAGTAGCGGGGTCATGTTTTGACGGCAGTGAGAGAACGTTGCACACACCCTGAGGCGTAGCTAAGAGGAGAGACGGAGGCAGATATCCCCGGGCGCCAGACACGTGAGTGCGCCGACAAGATTGTCGGGACTGTCACTTTAATCGGGGAGGAAGCAGAAAATAGGGATGGGGTCTTAGCCCCAACCCCCTAGAAAATGTGTGATACTTTTGAGGCTAATTGGGTTTTTTTTTTTTTTTTTTGCATTTAGAGGCTTTCGGAAATTCAAATTTCTGATTTCTTTTTATCATTCTGTACTCAATTGGAGAGCAACAGAAAAGAAGCTAGTGGCAATTTAGGTTTCCAGACCTCAAAGATTCTACAAATCGTTGTTTCTTAATAGTAATGCTGTCGTATCATTTTTATTTCAATTTTTTCTTTTAAAATATTTAATAAAAAGGATTTCTTTTCATCAGTTTAGCTAAAAGATATCCTGGTCATTCCGTTACTTTGGCAAGGCCGCGGGTCATATTTAACACACACACAATTTTAGACCACTTCACGGCGTCGGTGTTATTCTTTGGAACCCAAACGGCATTTTTATTTATTTTTTTCGAAGGTCAAAGCATTGGTGGGATTCAGCCGCTTCACACCAGGTACCAGACCTTGATAAATTTCCTCAGATCTTTGGAATTCAAGACCCCGTTGAGGTCTGGGGGAGTAAATTTTAAAAAGCGTAAGAAATCTTGTGAAATTTTAAGTCTGAAGAAAATTTCTATGCAAAATAATATGGAATTAAGCAATCCCTAAAAACAAAGTTTTTCGTATAAAAATTTTATAAAATGTTATATCGAGCAACGGGGGTGGGGCTGAAATTTTGACAATACAGACATTCAAGTAACCCACTTTGTAAGAATCCCAATTAGTGAATCCTCCAACAGAGGAGATATCAGGACCCAGTGAGAAACATAGAGCCAACTTCGATGCAGAACTCAAAGCAATACTGGTTGCCCTTACTTTGAAAAAGTGAGCCAACAACAAGCGAAAAAGAAAAGTTTCCCCCGATACTGCACGGTCTTCAACTACTCACAATTAGCTCTTGAATGCTTGGGGAGGGACTCGACGTAGGCTACCGTAATAAATGCCAATTTGGAAGCAGTAGATGGCATCCATGCACGAGGCGAAAAGGTTTTCCTGTAGAACATCCCTTGACACGTTGAGGCGACGTAGCACATCAGAGCCGATACCCCTGCGTGAGAAGCAGGTGCGACCAGGCCCCAACCCGATAAACCCATGGCTCAGTTGGGAGTCAAAACTTGGCTGAAAGACCAGTTCCGCAATAAGTGGCTCAGCGACGACTGCTGCACCAGAATATGCCTCTGCCGAGCAAGAGCGACCCCTGATGGAAACTGAAACGTAACCAACAGAGTTTAGTGACAAATGAGGACGGATCACGCGACAAGAAGTTACCTCCACTGACTTGACTCGCGTGGAGACACGAACTGCCCACACTGTGGTTTGGCTGTCGGAAACAGTGGAGCACCTTTTGGACGGCTGTCCTGGAAAAGGAGATTGGGGTGAAAATCTGAACACGGAGACCTGTCTTAATGATTTCATTTACGGTGATGCCCACCCTATGAGGCAAGCCGTTGTCAAAATAGCCAGGGCCATAAAAGCGTAAGCTCTGCATGTATTTGTCAGAATAAGTTTAGTCCTATCACCATTGTCACTCGGACGAGACTTGAAGGCATCAGCACGAGTGAAATTTTTAACCCGTTGTAGGGCGGATGAATGTACAGGCTCCGGGTATGACATACGCCGGAAATAGATTGTCAACTCATGGATCTTGTCCCAAGAATCATCCTCAGACTGGCAAAGTCAATGAAGATAAGTAGTTGAGAAAATGGAATAGAGTCCTTACAGCAGGGGTCTCAAATTCGCGGCCCGCGGGCCATTTGTGGCCCGCAAGGCGATATTTTGCGCCCGATACCTGAAAGTAAAGTTCACTGTTAATGCGGCCGGCGCGTTTCCCCCATTCTCATATCTCTAGTGTGACCCACCGCTACGGTTTCCGTCGAATCTCACCGACTCGTCTAATTCTGATGGTTATTACGTTTTTTAATAGTTTGGACGTTGATTACAGGGGTAAAAACGTTGTTTAAAATTGGACTAAAAGTTTTTATTTTATAGCATTTTACGAGACAAACCTGGCCAAAGTCCGAATTTGATCATAGATTTGCAGACTTCAAAACACACGGAGTCACTTTTCAAATTTCTGATTACCCTTTCTCCTTCAGTGTGGACGATGCCGCGCCCCCCCCCCCCCCCCCCCCCCNGGCTAGGTTCGGGGAGGTGAATGGAAAAACAGACAAGCTTTGACAAGTTATGAGAGCATTGCCCTACAACTTCCCTGAGATTGCCAGGTTGTTCAAGTGGATCAAGTCAAAGTTCAGGGCCAAATTTATTGATCAGCATCTTTAAGCTATACTTAGAATCTCAGTTGCTTCCTCGCTCAAGCTCAATGTTGCTCATCTGTATAAGAAGAAGCGCTGTTAGGTCTCTAGCAACAATTAGTAGCCGGAAGTAAGTGAAGCCTAGTTCTTGAGAACCCTTTATGTTGTCATGTGTTATCAGGTTGAGCAGATTGTAACAGTTATTCTTTATTGAATTTGTCACCGCCTTGTGTGTGGAATACTTGATGCGGCCTAGTCTCACTCAGACTCTACCTCCTTCGGCCCCCGGATAATTTGAGTTTGAGACCCCAGCACTGCAGGATTTCGGGTGTTACGGAGAGGAATTGAGATCACGCTTGGTGGTTGAAATGTAGACCATGTAATGAGAATCGGGGGGGGGGGGGGGAGAATAGATTAGATAGCGTTAGAGGGAAGTACATTCCCCTATTTATTTTTAAACGAGTTTAATTTCTTATGATTATAATAAAACATTATTAGGCTTATTAAACTTATTGAGTATTATAAATAATGTTATTATTATTGAAGTAGAATTGACCAATGACAATGTATTTCTACGACGCCTCTAAATAGATTTTTGTACTATATTTTGTATTTAAGTTTGTATTATTGAAAGACCCTAATAATATATAGTAATTTAATTTTTTTTACTACTTTGCTCTGCTACTGTATGTAGTTTGGCAAGATTAAGATATTGATTTATAAATAAGCGAAAAATTATGATGGGTAATATGCGAAATTTCTTAACTCAATTGGTATCGATGTAGTAGCGTCATATAGATTCAAGATGGCGTCGTTGAAGAAGTCGGAATACGTCCTAGATGAGATAGTTTACTTTTTAAGCAATCCGTTTTTCCAGATTCCGGTGCTTTCTTTTATGGAAAGCAAATGTCTAAGTAAGAATGGATTTTTTAGTACCTTTCTTAAAATGCATGAGTGTGTAATCATAAATAATGTCTGTGTTTTTCCAGGAAAAAGATCCTGCCTCTTCTTTTTTTTTTTTTTTGTTGGGGTGTAAAAAATATATTAAAGTGCCTAAATTTGACTTAATAAGCTTTGTATTACTTTATTTAATTTTTNAAAATATATTAAAGTGCCTAAACTTGACTTAATAAGCTTAGTAGTACTTTATTTAATTTTTATACATAAATTAACATATAATTATATTGGCATTTAATTATATCAAGATTTTAATTTTAGTAATTTGCCTTATTATATACTATACTATAATTATAATAATATAAAGATTATTTGAAAATCGATTACGCTTCATCCCCAAAGAGAGATACATACCACATTGAAGTACAAAATGCAACATTACAAAAACTACATACGAGAATACCCATTCTAAGTCTTTCATACCTTGCAACCATAAACAACACAGGCCAATATACATCTACAAGATAATAGCTAGATAGACGACATCACCCCAGCAGGTGTTTACGAAATAATAAGTCTTCAAATCAGTTTTGAAAGACTCCAGGGTCTGGCTGTTTATGAGAGCGACAGGAAGGGTGTTCCGAATTGTTGGGCCAGCAAATGCAAAAGTGCGTCCCTCATAAGTCTCAAGGCGAACCCGTGGTATCAAGAGTCCACCACTATCAGATGAGCAGGGTTATACTATATACAACCATTAAGGGGTGTCATAGTCGATTTAGACTGATGCAACTATATAATTTAAATACATAATTTGTAATCTAACTTCTAAACGCTAAGAGTAAGACTAAGGGCAGTATCACTATTGCTAAAGAGCAATGGTCCATAAAGGTTTTTAAAGTGGGAGACGGCACTACTAAAATTAGGAGGAAATAAGAAACAGTAACTTTTTATTCTTAGTGCGCTTATACTCAACTACCAAAGAAAGTCTATTTTAAAAAGTTTTTAAAAATATTTTTTGGCAGGCATGCAATCATAAAAAGCATATCAAAATTATACATTGTATGTCAAAATCATCAGATTTACCAGGCCTGTCCCTCGCCTTTTCACAAAATTTTGTCTCACTAACACTATCTACAGTTTTTATACTTTTTATGACTTTCCACATTTATTTGTTTCGGCAACACAGTCACTCCTTTAGTCACATCACTTACCTTTATTGCCTCTTTGTTCTTTAGAATAGTATATAACTTAGCATGGTCAGAAACACGAAGGCCATTATCATTACTAACATGATTCCTTTTAAAATAGCACATTTCTCTTAAAGTTAAAGCGCCATAATGAGAGCTAAAACTAAAATAAAACAAACAGTGCAAAAGTAATTTTTTAAAAAGTATAATTTTTTTAACACAGAGCTCTACAAACTATATTTACAGAAAACATGTTTAAGTACTACTCAGTTGGTGAGATAGTGTATACTGCAATATGCATATGTTTGTAACCTGAATTATCTTCCAACTTCTGAGGTGTTTCTTATCCGAGGCTCAACTGTATTGATGAGAAAGATGTTTAATTTGCTGTGTCACAGTGGGAGATAGATTTCCCTTGTCATTTTTCAGAGCTTATCTGCATATATATTTGTCTATCGTCATATTTTATTTAAGTGTAGCACATATTATATAAAGGTCCATTTAAGAGAGGACAAATCAATCATATGAAATCAGAGGGTGAGCATTCAAAGCAGTGTGAAATCTATGATAGGAAATGCTTTGAAATATGGTTCAAGGCTAAAGAACCACATACTAAAATATGATGATGGAAATAAACAGTTTAGGCAGGCATCTTCAATTTCCACCTCTACACCTCATCTTCGTCTATCAAAGTAACAAAGATTTGGGTATGACCATTTTTACATGCAATGCCAATAGTTATTGTTTAAATGGTAACATACTATTCTGAAATGATATTGTACTATTTTGGGAGTTCCAGGGTGACCAGGTCTGTAGCGAGTTGCACAGTGATTTATTGGCCAAAACACAAGTACAAGTGCCAAAACTGAAGATTTAAACTTAAATCGAGAAGAGTGTGGTTGAATAAAGTTTTCTACAGAAGTGATATTCATAGTGTTGTTAGTCATGGAGAGGCTGCTAGGGCAGATAAAAAGATATATATTTTTTTCTAAAAGAACAACACTTATAAATGTAAAGATACCCTAGTTCTAAGGTAGGGCAGATTAATTGAATTTACATTGATTTCAATGGGAAAAAATTATTTCAGTTAGTGAATATTTTGGTGTAAGAGCTGAGTAACAGAACAAATTAAGTTCACTAACTGAGGTTCCACTGTATTAAAATAAATGTGTTTGAAGTATGAGAGACTAAGATTTTAAAATTATTTATAAAAGTAATTTTTATTTTTTTGTTTTCAAAATCAGTTTTTGATCCGAGTATTGAAGACTCTGAAGCGTACCTGGAGATTCATGCAGAATATATAAAGTTGGTATGTAATTTTATCACTGTAGTTGTGAGTCATATATTTTTGTATTATTATTTGACTTTCACCTATTTAAAATTATTTCTTTAAGGCAATTTTTGAATGATGAATAGGTTTAATTGGATAAAATTCAGCAATATTATCAGACAGTTTTGCATTTACCTTTTGTAAAAAAAAAATACAGAAGATGACCCAATTTTTGAAATGTTTTACCTTTCCAAACCTGTTCAATCTTTAATTACACATTTACTTTTTTTTTTTTTTTTTTTTTTTATTTTTTTTATTTTTTTTTTTTTTTTTTTTTTTTTTTTTTTTATTTTTTTTTTTTTTTTTTTTTTTTTTTTTTTTTTTTAATCTCATGACATTTTATTAATTCTTACTTAAATATATTCATCCAACTTTAAATGAAAATTGTATCATAATAGATAGTCTAACCATCTTTATGATAAATATGCTTTGTGCAATAAGACTTTATTTGTGTCCATGATGTTTAAGTGTATAAAGAGATTTATTTTTTTTGGTATCCTTTTTTGTATTTCAGAAATTTATTAGGTTTGGTTGAGGTTTTTTGTTTTTGTTTTTTTTGGTGAGGATGTGTTTTTTGTTAGGGTATTCTTCTTCATTGATGCTTTTTAATAATAATTAATCATTTGGGAAAAATAACAAATTTGGAACAAAAATTAAATTAAAAGGTATTTAATTGGCTTTATGGTTTTCTTGGTGTATTAATGTTTGGAAATGGTTATTAATTCTCTGATCATCTTTAACTCATTCACATTAAATTATATCAGACATATTTTGGTGATGCTTTGATGATTAATAATACATTTATTATAGCATAACAGATGTTCAAAATTCCATTTTCAACTACTGCATGCATGCCAGAAAGTTGCACTTTAATGCAATACTTTATCAAGATACACGGCTTAGAAAAGTATGTAAGTTTATTGCATAGCGTGAACCCTGCAATAAGAATCTCCCCAGTAGTAAACTCTCCTCGCTTCTTGCTACGGTAGGACTGACAGGCTAATCAATAAGAACATTGGCTATTTGCTGGCTTTAACAGGGCTCATCATTGTTCCATCAATGGCCATTGACCAATGCGGCATTCACTGTTCTCTCCAGTTGGCCAAATTTAGCTCTCTCAGACAAGTGTCCAATAATCCAGCTGGGATTGAAAAGATGGTTAGAAAGGTTTAGATGGTCTTGATAATGAGTAGATTAATTTTAATTATCTTTTATTCATAGCTCTCTTATATAGTAATTCCCCTTTCCCTAAAAAAAAAAGTTAGGTGCCTATATTGTGCCTTGATGTTTTTATTACAATTTGTTATTATTTACTGGAGCGACTGACAATAATTTGCTTTAATTCAATATTTTTTTAAATGACCAAATTATGCTGTGATATCTAAAGTAAAATACACACCACAGAATTATGTGAGCAGCAGTTTTGGTCTAACACCTACATTTGTACAATGGGCCTTGGTTTCTCAACTTCTGTTTCTAACAATAACAAAGAGTGCTTCCTGTTCTGAACTTTGGCTACATTGCCATTATTGAAATCTTCAAAAACATGAGTTTTATTTTAATTTATCTGTTGTTTAATACTGTATTGTCTGCTGAAGATTGCACCTAGCCAAAATGTCTGTTTAATTACTGTGTCCTTTTTTTTCAAGCTTCAGCATATCTTGTTATTCTATTTATTTACTTTACCCAGCATGAACGCAGCTCCCTATTTATATATTATGAAGTATTACTGCGTAAAATCAAATTTATTTATTTCTATGTTGCATTACTATTTTCATATTTTTATAACGTTTTACAAGTTAAAATCAAATGAATGAGTTTGTTAGTGAGATTATCTTTAGAGATTAAAGCAAGTTAATCTTCTTTTGTCTAATATGTTTTGTCGAATGTGGAAGATAAATTAACTGAAATTAGTTTAGTACCACTCATTATTAAATAAACAAATAGAACTATAAACTATGTTTATTTAGGTACCATCGGTAAGACCCATATAAACATCAATATCACTCAAATGTATGTCACTGCTTTTAAAACCAAGCTGCCTACTTTCATTATCTTTTCATTATTTTTAGCTTTCTTTCTTTTTATGTTTTCTTTCAATCATAAATATTAGGTGGATCTTCTGCTGGAAGGTTTTAGAACTGACACAGGCTTATCCCATGACCAGATCATCCAAGCTATGAAAGAACTGAGTTCAAAGCCTGACCTTAGGGATGTTTTCCAGGTGAGGACTTTTACAACACATGTCCCACTTTTTTTTTTTTTACAGATCTTTAGGTTGCAGAGCAATACATTTTTTGTATATCTTATTGGCTTCTTAAAATACAATATTCTCAAATGTGCCTATCACAGAGCAAGTAGCAATGGCCAGTATGTTAAAATTGACTTGCTTGCAACTAGTATTAGTTTTGTCTATAAAAAAAACTAAAAAATAACAAATAAAATATCTGCTTAAACATAGGAGCATAAATTAATACCTAGTTCCTCAAATCAAAGAATGTAAAGGAGAAAGTTATTCTCATGGGATGGATAATGGCCATAACTTTCTCAGCAGAGTCCTTTTATTGGCTTTAGAAGCAGTGATTTCTTGAACATAAAAATTCACAACAGCTTGAAATTCATGTATTCCAATAATTCCTTACTTATTCCTTCTACCTGAAAATATTTTTTTTTTAAATTATTTAATTTTGTAAGTTGTGTTACTTCATTATAGATATGTAGGTCACTGGTTAATTTATTAAATTTTTTTAAATTTATAATGCAAAAACAAAAAGGATAGCTTAGTATAGGCATTCTCAAATCTAGTCATGATGCTCATTGTTGATCTTTTTCTTTTTTTTCTGTCTTGCTCCAACATTTTTAACCACCAGGTTCTCTTTGAACAAGTTTTAGCCACAGTGGATTATAGGATCTTTGTGCGAATCATGGCACAGAAAAATCTTGAACTTCAGCAACAGGCTCTGCTGCTCATTTCTCAGATGCTGGGTGGAAGTTTGCCTGAAAGTTTACTAAAGGATGCACCAGGGGACGTACAGTGGTCTAAGAGCCAACACCATTCCAAAGACGAGGATCAAATCTTGTTGGCTGTTTTAGCGTGAGTTGGTCAACACACCCCCACATATGTGACAAACATTTTATGTTCATATGTACTTAAAACTGATCCATCCACCTTGAAACTGGCATTTCTAATAATGATTAGTATTAAGGCGTTTCTTTTAGAGTACTTTCTGTGTGAGGAAGATGAGATACACATTATTTTGATCGGTGGTTAAATTAGATTGATATGGAAAAACCATGAAAGAACATGTGACCCCACTTTCCATGTGCTATTATTAAGGTAGCCCCTCAGTTTTGATGTCCAAAGCACATGTTAGCCTTCCCACCACATTTGTCTCTTAGCCCATCATAGCCTAATGTATATATTATTTTGCCCTCTCCAAAGGCGTTTTTCAGGTTGCTGCTGTAGCATTAAGTGTTATGGCTTAGTTATTGAAAGAGTTTGCATAATCAAGTATATAATTGACTATCTAGTTCAGCAATTCTCAAATTTAATTTTAACAAATAGAAATATGTATGCTTTGGTCCCAAGTCTACAATATCTATATTTTTTTAAAGAGAAAATTTAAGTAATAAAAAAATTCTAAAACTTACAGAGCCCTCATATGAACCGGCTGGTTTGTATATTTTGTTTGTTTAAGCTGCTCATAAACTTTTTACCTTGGTTGTTGCTGTGGAAATAAACATCTTCAAGCAGTGTTTTAATTTCATTGTGAATTTCTGTAATGTTTTGGTTTATTTCATTCAGACAATCAAAAGAAGAATATGAAAGAGAGAAAAAGAAAACTAATGATGAGCAAGAAGAACTTAGAATAATAATTGGGATATCGCAGTCTGAGAGTGCAAGACTCGAACAGTCAATGAAAGTTGAGCAGGAGAAATTGAATGAGGTAAATATCATTTACACCACGAACATCTGATTGCATAATCCATTTGTTGTTTTTTTTCATTTTCTATAGTCCTATAATAAAATTAAGACTAATATATTGTGATGCACTGGTTTTTGTTGGGTTTTTTTCAGACTCTTCAAAAATCCCTAACTTTGAATGATGAGCCACAAACTACAGGGAAAACATTATCCTCAAAACCTACCTTGTCTAAGTCAGCATCAATACCACCCCCAGCTTCATATCAACCAAAGCGACAGTCATCAGTAATAATCAAAATTTTTATAACTCTTGTAAATAATTAACCCAAGTTTAGGAGTGTATAACACAGCAGTTTTAATCTAGGGCAAATTGATAACTTCTTAACATAAATTTGGTAAAAGCAGACAATTGGTGCCATGTTTTTTCCTCATGGCCGCCATCTTTTTTGCCATGGTTGAGGAAAAAAAGTGGTGCAAACACAGGTGTGATAAAAAAAAAGAAAGAGGATGGGAGCAATTTTAGTAGAATAATTTTTTTTTAATTTTTTTAAATCAGTTAAATTAATTATTAGTATTTTTTAAAAAATTATTTCAATCAAAATGTAAAATAAAATAAAATTTGAAAAATATTTGGAAGAAGCGAACAAATTACAAATAAAAGTGTTAAAAATTAGCACAAAAAAAAACAATCAAATTTAAAGAAATAATATGAGCCGATACATAATTTTTGTGATGAACGGCTGCCATCCCTAAACCTAACTTGAAACATAAATCTATCCCTAAACCTAACCTGAACCCTTAACCTATCCTTAAACCTAACCTGAACCCTTAATCTATCCCTAACCTGAACCCGAGCGCTAAACCTAACCCTAAAACTAACCCTAAACCGCTGAACCTCAAGTCCTAAGTAAAAAACATGTTTGTGGCCACACTTTTACAGTTACACACTTTTTAAGAAAGCTGTAAAAATGAAGAAAAACAATAAAAAATAATTGTAAAATAATGAAAAACCAACTTAGTTTCTTGGAATACACTTTAATACATTTTACTTCAAGTTCCACCAAGCAAAAAAATCAAATAATTGTAAGAAAATCAATAAAATACATGAATATGATATGAAACCCATTTTCCAAAAATGAAGCAATGACGTAACGTTATTTTTATCACTCCTTTATCTATATCCGTTAATTTACCAGATATAAAAAATAATTTCTCTTCTTTTCATTTAACATTTCCAACCCTCTTAAATTTTCAAAAGCTTAGAATAACATTAAAAGCAGAAAGGCAAGTAATTATTAACCTAAAATTTAAAATTTATTTTAATATCCGTTAATTATTCACATGAACTTTTTTAGCAGCACTTTAATGTTGAAATATTCCTTTGCTGCCACTTCTTCCAATGAATAAGCGTACATTTTTCAACAATTCAATTAAAATGTAATGTGTATTTTATTTTATAGAATTTCATTTAATATTGCCATTTATCTGAAAATAAACTCAGAAAATAAACAAAAAAACAATATTTTTCTAAAGATTCATTTGGCCTATTAATACTAATACATAAAAAATAACACTACAAAAATAAACAAAGGGGGGTGAATTCTAAACAAAATCTTAACTAAACATCCAAATGACATCATGGCACCAATTCTCTGCATTGACCCCACAGAAAAATCACAAGTTGTCATGGTCTGAAAATATAGTCATATTTTCAAAATTATTTGCATTTTTCAAGATTCAGCAAAATTGCATTTATTAAAATTAAGAATTTGCATCAAATAAATATTATAAGAACCTAAGATATATTCAACAAAATACTTTCTCAAAGTTTTCTTATTAATCTTTGCAGCTCTCATTGTTGACTAATCCACCAAAATTTTTAATGCTCTAATATTTACACCTACTAATACACATTATTTATTTCAGACTACTACAGCTCCTAAACAGATTGTGGCAGACCATCATCTTGGTGCAAAGGATTCTGGGAGTGCAGTTTCAAGTGCTGATGCTGCTGCTTCATGGATGAAATCTGCAGAGACAGAGATGAATTCCTCTGATGCACATTCCAAGGCTGTTCAAGCTGCAGCAGTGAGCAATCATTTTAGTGTGCATTCAGCTTTTTAAATTACTAATTAAATTTAAAGATTTTTCACATAAAGTACTCTTTAAAAAAAAAAATTGGTGCTTTAGACATAGTTTGGTTTAATCCCTACATGTAATGCATTTAATTTTTTATCACACAAATTATCCAGACTAGCAAATTTCTGCATAGCTATTCTTCACCACTTCTGCCTTAAAAAATATACAGTTGCTATTCGTGCTTAACCCTCTTGAGACGGCTGGGCAAATCTATCAGCTTAGTGTTATGGTGAAAAATATGACAGACTGATCCATCTGCCAAATAATAAAAGCCTTGAAATTAGAAGGCTGGTCTTCATACCAGCTAATCGGATTTCTTCTCGCATTTCTTGCTAATTTTGCCATTTTCATGGTGGCTTTCATTGATAGTTTACAGTTTTCTGTCATTTTATATTATTTTCTTTGTACCTAGTGACCCAATTAATGCTTTAAAAATATGTGACTTTGAACAAAGGGCAAATGCTGCCCTAAGGGAATATTTTATGAATCTCATTAAAATATGGGTTAGGACTTATTTAGGCTTCAACAATCATACATTTTTTTTTAAATTCTGCAGGTAAGACATGTTTCCTCTAAGAGTAAACAAAATTGTATGCATAAATTATGCAAATCAGAATATCTCCTTTGCATAAATGTTAAGATTTCAGTTTATAAAGCAGACACTTTATGGCTGGATTTTTTATGTCTCATTACAAGTTGTAATCCTTTCTTTCACCATTCAGGCAGGTATGGCAGGCATGTCTGGAGAGGAATACAAACGAAGGGTTGAATTTTTACGCCAGCAACGAGATAAATTAATGGAAATGAAACGTAAAGAGAGGGAAAAGCAGCTGCTCTCTGCTGAAAAGTCTCAACCTCAACGACCGGCATCAGCAAGGGCTGCCAAGGTGGCTTTGAAACAAGGTCATGGTAATGGGGGACCTGAAAAAAGTCCTGAAGATGAGAAAAAACTAGCAATGAGAAGAGCGATAGCTGACAGAATCAAGTCTGAGCTGATGGGTAAGAAGTAATTAGAAACTCCCCAGTGATTTCTAATTGGTCACAGCATTGCACCATTCTTCCAAATAAGTTTTTTTGCTACCACTCCTGCCACTATGAGTTCCAATGCTTTTTGTGCATATATGTTGTTTTACCTACAGTTAGGGGGGGGGGGGGGGGGG